AGCAATTCCCTGTCTCAAAAACCAAACTGACTAAAGAGTACTCTCCTAACAAAGAGTTACTTGTCCCACAGATCCTAAAATTCACTATGGCATGCTGCAACATCGACAAAATAAAGCATTTATCAGCATACTGCTTATGATACTCCTCTTGAGAGTGAAATATTCCCCTGCTAAATTAGAGCCTACAGCTCATCTTAAACAGAAATGATCAAAGAGCCTTGAACTTTTGGCAAACAGCTGGTAAGAATTGTTTTAAAAAGTTCATCCTTGGGCTGAGGATGTAGCTCAGTGCTAGAGAGCTCTTCCCTAGCTAGCACACGTGAGGCTCTAGTTTCTACCACCAGTACTGCCAAAAAAATAAGTAAATAAAGGATATCCTTGAGCAATTACTTTGTACCATGGTTACTTAAGATAGTAAGTGAAATTGACTTAAATGTATATGGAAATTTTCTGTGCTATTTTTGTAATTTTTCTGTAAGTTTAAAATTATTCCCCTCCAAAGAGCTTATTACAGTAAGAACAATGATAAATTATTTTTAAGAAAGAAAGAGAATACACAAAACACAATTTCCACAGAATTACAAAGGAGGATAGAGATCAGAGGGGCTCTAGAGTAAGCAAAAAGGGGCCTTCAGAGAACCCAGCTCAAAAGCCAAAGGCAAAGTACACATGGTGGGGCTGTCAAAAGGTCCCTCAAGTAGCAGATTCTAACAGGAATATGTTAACTCAAGTTGTAATACCACAAAATATCTCTATGAGCAAAAAGAAAAATCAGAAGGAAAACTGTAATACATGATCAGAAACCTACAGAATATTCATTATCATTCAAAAGCACCTTTTTCTTGCAAATATGTACATGCAAGATGACATTTCTAAAATTCTAACAGCCATGAAATAATGAAAGGTGTATTTCTAAAGCTCCAAAGTGTTTCTTCATTTGAAACAGACTTACTTTCAAAATAATGGACTAATAAAATCCACAGCTGAAAGTAAGCTTATTTCTACCTCTCTCCTATCAGCTTGTATAGATAGCAAAGGAATCAATTAATATTCTAGTTAAAATATAAACTTTTGCCTAATGTCTATGTCCTAACTGCAGTAGCTGATATCACTGCATGAGTCATCATCTTAGAGTACCATAGTCAGGTATTTTAATAGGTACTTCTTTTTTTTTTTTTTTTTTTTTTTTTTAGGAGATTATCAAGAGTTGTTGTACTATACTTTGGTATCTTCAAAGTGGCTTCTAAAGAAAATAAATAGAGCTATACATGAGTGACCTATTGAAAAATCATTAACTATTCTCAATGGTTGTTGTAGGAAACACATAATAATAAACATACATCCACTTATGAAAATAGGTACTTCTTTTTGTTTTGTTTTTTGTCTTTTTGAGACAGGGTTTCGCTATGCAGTTCAGGCTGACCTTGAGCTCACTTTGTAGCCCAGGCTGGCCTTGAACTCGAAATGATCCTCCTGCTTCAGCCTCCTGAGTGCTGGAATTACAGGCGTGCACCACTACGCCTGGCTTTTAATAGGTACTTCTTATGCAAAAGCTCAATTAATATTCCCAACAACTCTAAAAGACAGTAACCGCATTTTCCAAAAGTAGAAACAGACAAAGGAAGATTAAGCAATAGAAACACAAAGCCCTAAATTAACAGCGAGAATGTTTATCTCAAAGTCCATCTTTTCTCTGTCAACTAGTATTACAATGAAAATGGAAAGTCTGCTTTAACTGAAATACAAATGGTAAAACAACTGCAGGAAACTAAGGTGATACTCCTAAAAAAAGAATAACAATATAATGAAGTTCTATTACTTACATCCAGAGACACTGCTCCTAGGCACCAAAGTAGAGGGCACCACAACCCAACATTTTACTCTTGTATTAAAATGAATTCAAAGTCACTTCTGCAGATGTTCTGGTGCTTTCACATCTAGGATGTCCTTCAGAAGCTATAAAAAATACTAAGACAAAGCCGGTATGGTGATACATGCCTATAATCCCAGCCACACAGGAAGCTGAGGTAGGAAGGTTGCAAATTTGAGGTCAGCCTGGGGCACTTAGTGAGATCCTGTCTCAAAACCAAAAATATAAAGGGCTGGTAATGTAGCTCAGGGGCAGAGCACCCTCGGATTTGATTTCTAGTACCAACAACCAAAACAAAACAAAAATAATAAAGGCAAAACTCCCTTGGAAGCATCCATTTCCTTTTAAACAGAACCCAGTACCTGTACTGTATTTGTTCGCACAGTGCTGCCACCATGTGGAGGAGCCTCTGAAAAAGTGGAACAAAATCACTCAAGTACAGTAAATGAGTCATTTTTATTAGAATAAAAGAACTGAGATGATTTTATAATAAACGAGTATTTAGATAAAGACCTCTGTGTTCGAAACTGCAGTCATTTTTTTTTTTGTAACTGTAATACTTTTTTGAGGTTAAAAAAGGGTATTTAGTTGCAGGTAGCCAGGGAAAGTAAAGTAAAACAAGATGGACATGTATTGGCAATTAGTGAGTTGGGTGATAATAAATGAATTCATTTATTTATCATATTTATCTATTCTTCTTAACTTTAAGTACAGTTGAAAATTCCCTTAATAAAAAGCATAGTTAAATAAAGGGCACACACATGTTGCTCGAGTACAATTAACTGGATGAAAACTAGCCCTCTCTCCTCTACGAAGGAAACAATAAATCAGACAAAGTAGGCCTGTTCTAAAAACTTGGTATTCTCTCAGCTGATCTGGATGAAGACCTGAAGTACTGCATTTTTAAAAATGAAAACTACCTTTACCACTAAATCCTCAGTTCTGCATGAAGCATTTACACGATGCAGAGATGACTTTTCCCCCCTCAAACTGGAATGACCTGCAGGAGTTAGAATTCACTTTCACCTTAATCCAGTTTTAGCACCACTGAATATTTAATAGGTTTCCACAGGATACATGACAGTTTGCTTATCTGCTTGGTATTGGAACCCAAACACTTCATCTCCTCATTTGTCCTCAGGGTGAGAATTTCAAAGACATTTATTCAGAATAACAGTGAATTAAAAGCAGTAAGAAAAAGGTTGGTACCACTTAACTATTTTATAAAACAGGTATTATTGCCCTATGAACTTACTTCTTTATGGAATATTTTTTAAAAAGGTGCCATGAGGTGCTGCTGGGGAGAGGCGTTGGACAAACAGTAGGTTCAATCCAATACTGGTAGTGATACCCTATCAGAAGGCATGGTTTAAGGCAAGCACTTCTGCAGCCACCCCTAAGCCGACAAGGTAGCTGAAAGACTCCTGATGGTAGTCAGTGTAATAAGAACCTTTAAATCTGTATCTTGCTTCAACCCTTAACATTACTAATAATCTGCAGAATAATAAATAGAAGTCAAGGCTACCCACCCATAGAATAAAATGAACTAAATGAGATGTCAAAGTACAGATATGAGCAAGCAATCTGCAAGGGAGAGATGTTCAAATTCTAACTCTCTCCATTTGAAAAAGTTCAACAAGAAAATACTTAGTTACTTACTAATTAACTCTCAGTGTTACTCAACTTTAAATAACTTCACAGTTAAAAAGGAAGTACTTTTTTTTCCTGGCAGTACTGGGGACTGAACCCAAGGTTTCAAGCATGCCAGGCAAGTGGCTGATCACTAGGGTGCATTCCTGGCCCTTTTCTTTTCTTTTTGGTACTGGGAATCAAACTTAGGACCTTGAGCTTGTCAGGCAGGCACTTGTGCCACTGAGCTATATCCCTGGCCCAAGATTTATAGACTTTTTTTTTTGGTACCTGGAATCGAACTCAGGACCTTGCACTTGCCAGGAAGGAGCTTGTCTCACTGAGCTATATCCCCAACCCTGGCCCTTTTCAGTATTATTATTTTCACATGGAGGCAGGGTCTTAACAAGTTGCCCAGGTTGAACTCAATCTTGCAAACTTCTACCTCAGCTTCCCAAGTAGGTAGGATTACAGGTGTGTATCACTGTACCCAGCAAAAAAGGAGCTGTAAAGAAAGTGGTTATATTCTTTCATCAACTCAATAATCATATTTAGTGACCAATCTGTCAATTCAAGTAAGATCCAGTAAATAGTAGAGTCAGTGCATCACTTGAGACTTGATTACATAAGCAAATTTAAAATGTTAACATAAAAAAAAAGCCCAACTTTAAGATGTTAAGTTCTGGCTGGTAAACATTTAGAACATAATCAAATTGGCTAAAAAACAAAACAAAACAAAACAAAAAAAACAACAACCTTGTCCCAGAGTTCTTTAAAAGTGTATTGCATAAACTTAGCCAGGTGTGGTGGTGCACGCCTGTAATCCCAGCACTAGGGAGGCTGAGGCAGTAGGATCCTTGCAAGTTTGAGAACAGCCTGGGCTACAAAATGAGCTTAAGGCCAACCTGAACTGCATAGCAAGTCCCCGTCTCAAAAAAAAAAAAAGTATAAATTTAAGGCAAAATCTTCTAAAGAAAATGATTAAAATACTGGTTTATTTCTAAACAAACACACGGCAGGTAAAATATGAAGGTTTGCTTTAAAACCTATTATTTTAGTGCTTGGTTCTTTTCCCAACAACACCAAGTGCAGTGGTGGTGAACCTACAGCACGTGTGCCACAGTGGGCTGTTTTTATCACTGAACGCTCTAAAAGGTTCACCATCAGTGACCTAGGGTATGACATATACAATGTGGAACACACAGAAGTCACGTTTCTCATAATGTCCTGTGGCTCCATGTCACAAAGACAAGGTCTGTGTTAAACATGCCTTGAAAAGAGACCCATTTTAAATACTGCTCTTTTAAAAAAGATGCTTATTACCATTGGATTTGAATCTGCTATGAGATCCCGTAGAGAATCTAGAAATCCCTGATCTTCCACCATTTGGGCATTGATATCATGGAGTTTTGCCACACAGACTGCTGCTGTTTTCCGAACGTAGGGGTCTTCATCCTTTAAACACTTTCGAAGGGGCTCACAAAGATATTCTGTAATCTTGTCCACCCGGATGCACCCCATGGTTCTGACTGCCAAGGCCCGAATCAAAGGATTGGGATCTTCACAGTCCTACAAAAAGAAATCATCAGTTGTAAGTATATAAGGTGATTAAAAGCAAACAGTCCAGTTGACATAAACCATAAGAATATTTTATTGTTTCCAATTACCTTGTACTTCAGAATTCATTTTCCCATGCCATGCCTTTCCTAAGAATCAGTCTTAATTTTCTTTTTTTTTTTTGCCGGTACCAGGAATTGAACTCACGACCTTTGCACTTGCCAGGCAGGTGCTGTGCCACTGTGCTAAATCCCCAGCCCCTAGTCTTAATTTTCTATTCCAGAGTTTAGAAGGAAATAATTTGTTTTTATTTTTATTTATTTGTTTGTTTTGAGATAGTGTCTCACTATGTAGTTCAGGTTGGTTTTGTTTTTTTTTTTTGGTTTTATTCCCAGTATGAGGGATCGAACTCACAATCCTACGCTTGCTGGGCAGGTGCTGTGCCGCTGAGCTAAATCCCCAGCCCCCTCAGGCTGGTTTTGAACTCACTATGTAGCCAAGGCAAGCCTTGAAATCGAGGTGATCTTCCTGCCTCAGTCTCTTGAATGCTAGCATTATGAGTGCTGGGATTTTAGTTGTGCTCTACTACACCATTAAACTGTTTTTATATACACAATGAGGAAAGGCCCTGTAGGATTTAAAACCAGGCCAGCCATATAGATTTATACATAGTTTTAACTTTCAAAAAACATAAACTGAACTCTTGATATTTAGTTCATCTTGGAAATACACCAGGTAGGGAGAATGAAATGGTATGCTCTCTCTGACTCTGAATAATGCACAAAAAAAAGAGAAAAGTGTCTATGAAAAGGAAGCAGTCTATTGGTTATTTTTAAAAATGTAAATAGAAGTTAATTTTAAAAATGCTAACTACAAAATTTTTTTTTACTAAGTTTCAGGCAGTGCTAGGCATTGTGGCATATACCTAGAACCCCAGCACTCGGGAGGCTGAGGCAGGAGGACTGCCATGAGTTCAAGGCCAGCCTCAGCTACATAGTAAGTTTGAGTCCAGCCTAAACTACACAGTGAGACCCTGTCTCAAATAAATAGAGTAAGTTTCAGTCAGAGGAAAAAAACAAGTTTTAAAAAATGGCAACAACCCCATTATTATGCTCATCACTCTAATGCTAGGGAAATTCTGCTGGACAGTCCACCACATTAAAATTTTTTATCACTTTTTAAAAGATGTGACAATGGTATTGTGCTTATGTTTTTAGAATGAAATCTAAGAGATATAAGAAATTATACGATCTTTGCAATTTGCTTAAATATTATACAGTGATGATCAGGTAATCAGAAAGGTGTATATAGATGCCAGGCATGGTAGCACATGCTTGTAATACCAACACTCAAGAGGCTGAGGGAGGAAGATCGCTATGAGTTCAAGGCCAGCTTGGCCTATACAGTAAGACCTTGAGTAAAAAAAAAGAAAGATTGGAAGGTAGGTGTATCTAGGGAGTATAAATTAAACAACAGTGGCTATATGTCAGTAATTAAAACAGCAAGGTAAGTACTTAGGAATTTATTATACTATTCCCTCTACTTTTTTGGTGGGTACTGGGTATCAATCTCAGGACCTTTCACTTGCCAGGCAGGTGCTGTGCTGCTGAGCTATATCCCCAGCCCCTCTCTACCTGAATGTTAAAATTTTCCCATAATAAAAAATTTAATTAAATGGTCTAAGACCTACATAAACAACAAATTTAAAGAATGCTTCCTCTGTATTTTACTATTTCTGATTTACCAGCTTAATTCCTACAAAGATAAGCTGGGCGTGGTGGCTCATGCCTATAATCCCAGCACTCAGAAGCCTGAGGCAGGAGGACTGTTGCCAGTTCGAGGCCAGCCTGGACTGCAAAGTGAGCTCAAGGCCAAAAAAAAAAAAAAAAAAAATTAATAAAAAATTTCTACAAAGATAAAACAGATAAACGCTCAGGTAAGTAATACTGCAGTGGTAAGCCAACTTCTGTCACCCTTGGAAGGTAAAATATTGAGATTTCACCTGGCTCTTTTCTATCCATCTGGCAAGCATGCCTGTGCCAAGCTCTGCCAGCAGAAAGCTCACCATATGGCTTGAACTTCTCTGAATGACACATGCTGGCAGAGAGAAGGCTTAACATATGAGTACTCTTCTCACTGCCAGTACTTCTCCTGCGGCCTCCCTTTGGAACAAAGGTTGCTTACTTGCAATACAGACACTGTATCAAGATTCCGCAAAGTCTGAGGTAGAAGGGACTGTTCTTGAGTCCTGGGAAAAGCTACCTTCACAAAGCTGTTGACAGCCATGATGGCCATGTCTGGCTGACTCTTGGCATAGTTCATCAAGTACAGATACACGAGCTTCTTTAGTTCCAGATTATCCGTCTGCATACAGTTGACTACATCCGGAAAGAGAGAGCTGAAAGGAGAATGGAAAGATAAAAAAAGAGTGAACAACTATTGGTGTCAACCTGCTGGATAATGAAAAAGTAGCCTCATATTACAGAATGACCTGATGCAAGGACAAGGCCTCCACAGTGACAATTATTATCATGGAAATGAATAACTACAATTCTAGTTCTGCTCCCACCGTCTCTAAACAGATTTTCTTCTTTATTTCTCTCTTGACATTTCTTTCTTTTTTTGGTGGTACTGGGGTCGAATCAAGAGCCCGATGCATGGTAGGCAAGTGCTCTGCCACTGAACTTACATTCACCCCATACTCTCAATGGTATTTGGAAAAACAACAACAAAATACCAATTTTTTATTACTGAAAATTTCAAATAAATAAAAGCCAAAAGCAGCGTAATGAGCCCAGGTTACTACCCACAAATATCAATACATGCCCAATCTTGTTTCATATAAACCCTCAACCCACTGCCTTTACCCCTCCAACCCCATCTCCGTCCAGCTGCTCCAGACTCTTTGTTTTTTATTTCTTACACTGCTAAGGATTAAACTTGACCTTTCACACACGCTAGGCAAATGCTCTACAACTAAGCTATATCCGTAGCCCTCTGCATTATTTTAAAATACTTCCTAGACATTTTATTTCATCTATAATATCTGGTGCATATATTTATCAAACTTTTTAAAAAACTCATTACTTTTACCATACCAAAACAATTCACAATAATTCTTCACATCAATCTACTGCAGTTTCAAAGCATGACAGTTATTATACTTTTTAATGCTCATATTCTTCCTTGACCAGTGGAAATTTCCTTCCTGAGTCCTTGGAATGTCGCTTGCATTTTAAATGGTGACTCTATCTTCTCATCTGGTAAGATGCTTCATCCAGGCCCATTTTGTACATTTCTAATCCCAGATCTCAATCAGTTACTTCTCTATGATGTCCTGATACCCCTCTGCATGAAAGTTACTTTTTAAACATTACATTTTCATCCAAAGAAAAACTGACGTGTAATGAAATATAGTTTATATCCTTCCCAAGTTCTACTCATTTCATGACATCATTGTTCTATATGGCACAGGACAAAAATTGACATTTTCATTCACAAAGTACCACTAACTTGGAAGGCTTGAAGTTGATGGATTTTAAATGGTAAGCTATATTTTAAAAATACAGGTTAAATATAATTTAATAGGAAGTTAGCAATTAACTTCCCCCTGGGGTTTTATTAAAATACTTTATAAATTTTAACAATTTCTAGACATGTTATTAGTATACAGAAGAAAAGAAGAAAATGTCAACATATTTCTATAGAAGAAAATGACTTGAAGTAACTGGTCAAATAGTATAATTCCTATACACACAAAAATAGGATACAAAAGTAGAAATTATTTATAAAAAGATGGACTGCTGGGCATGGTGGTACATGCCTATAATCTTAGCTTTCTGGAGGCTGAGGCAGGAGGATTCTAAGTTTGAGGTCAGCCTGGGCTTCCTAGTGACCTGCACTATACAGCAACACTGTCTCCAAAGGAAAATAAAAGAGAAAAAGAAAAAAAAAAGGCAAGATCACCTGCAAATTCAAAGAATCCATTACACGTTCAATGAACCATCATTGATTATCTGTTCTGGAAGGGAGTAAATTGTGTTTAACTTGTTTGTATAGTTCCTAGTACAGTTTCTTGCACATATAAATATCTAAAAAACACTCTCCAAATGAATTTTCTTTCCACTTTCTCAGAAAATAACTTATGTGAAAAATCACTATAAAACCAGTAAATACATATGAAACATTAACCAATAGTAAAATTTTTTCCAATACAGTAGTAAACTTAAAACCCTAAATAAGGCTGAGCGTGGTGGCGCACACCTGTAATCCCACCACTTGGGAGGCTGAGGCAGGAGGATGGTTGCAAGTTTGAGACCAGCCTGGGCTACAAAGTGAGCTCAAGGCCAGCCTGAACTGCATAGCAAGACTCTGTCTCAAAAAAACAAAACAAAACAAAACAAAACAAAACAAAAAGAGCCTAAATAAGTCTAACAATCCAAAGACCAGTAAGATTTAACAGTCTAGATTCAAGAGGTAACAACTATTAAGCATCAATCCATAAAGCTAGAAACCTAAACTTGCCAATATGATAGCCACTAGTCATGTTAGCCTCAACTGAAATGTGACATAATGTACGACACACAATAAATTGTGAAGATAGTATGAGCCCTTGCAGCATGGTTAGCCTCAACTGAAATGTGACATAAATGTAAGACACACAATAAATTGTGAAGACAGTATGATAAGTGCAATATAAAATATTTCACTAAAAATTATTCATGATAAGTGAGCTACAGTGGTACATGCCTATAATCCCAGCACTCAGGGAGCCAAGTCTGAGCCTACCCTGGACACTTTAGTGAGACTCTGCTTCACAAATAAAAAATTAAAAAAAGGCTAGAGTATAGAGGAATGCAAAGGCCCTGGATTCAATCCCTAGTACCACCACCACTAAAATTAAAAGATAAAAATATGTATACTGATCACTTGAAATAATATTCTCAATATACTGAATCAAATAAAACATTATTAAAATTAATTTCATTTGTTTCTTTTTACTTTTTTAATATGCCTACTAGAAAATTTTAAATTACTGAGCTCCCCAGGGGGTTTTGTTGACCTACTGATATTTTACCACAGTACAGACTGAATCTAAGAAAATTTTACAATATTAAGTAATCCACTTACAACAACCCACTTAATGATAATGTATTATTTTAAAGTAATGAATGAGAAGATAGCATTATTTTATATGTTTGCAAATCTCTTTTAATATCTAGTTTAAATAAATACAGCTGGATTCTTTCATCTTCTACATTTCTCTGCTGCAGAGTATTGCATTGGTTTGGATGAATTGTAAAGAGAAAATCCAGCTTCACACACATATATAACTTGGAAAAGGGAGAAATATTTTAATGGCTTTTTCACATAACTGGACAGTCTTCTTTGATATTATACTAAAACTACGTAAGTGGTGGCTTTACTCTTTCTTTTTCAGCCCAAAGTGGTAGTTTCTTACAAGTTAGAAATGTGAGCCAGACATGGTACTGCATGCTTGTAATCCCAGCACTTGGGAGGCTGAGGCAGGAGGATCACTGTGAGTTTGAGGCCAGACTGAGCTACACAGTAATTTCAAAGCCAGCCTGAACTACAAAGGGAGACCCTATCTCAAGAACCACCAAAAAAAAAAGGTTAGAAATGTAGAATACGAAACCACATCAATAAACTTTTTGTCCTTTGTTCCATAAAAATCCCTTTACTTCTTATGCCTTGTAACAGATTTTTTTAAACTATGCATAATTCTGGGATATATATTATGGTCATATGGGAAGTATTGGTTCACTGAATTATGCCAATCCTTCCATGCTGACAAACTTCATTATATAATAGCAAATTACCACATCCACTTAATTTTATCACCAAATCTCATCAGAAAAGCACTTTAAAAAAAGCACTTAAGTATCAAATAGCTGTCAAGCTCAATGACAAGAGATACATGTTTCGCAAAGTTCTAATTTTTACTTCAAAGTTTTAAATTTATCTGCTGTCAAAATTTTTTCTGCTTGAAATGACAGGTTCCCTTTGTTCCTTTTGATAAAATGTCTCCCAAATACTAAAGCCTTATTAAATATAGTTTGTCTGTCAATCATTCCTTCACATAAAAATGCTATTTGCAATTCAAATGATCATCCAAGGCTTTTTTCTCCAGTCAACTATCACACTTTGCAAGTCAGCCGAAAAGCTTTACAGCTAACTCCTTTTCATCACTGAATAATGAAAATACATATACCCATGGCTCAAGTTTTAATAAAATAAATTTTTAATGCTTCATGAAGGCCAGTCTTAAGCAAAACTGCTCTTTTTCCTTGTAAGTAGATGGTGATAGAAAATATAATGAATGTTAAGGCCAGCATCACTGCCTTGATTCATGCTAATGTACTAGCCGTTTTACCCTCCACTCTTCTATAATTTAAGTGCAAATGTTAAAATGGAGAAAAAGGCAAGTAAAATCTAAGTATTATTATAAAAATAGTGTTGATCTCATGGACCCTTTGAAAGGGTCATGGGAGTCCTCAAGGGGTTCTAGACAATCCTTACTTATTTTCAAATGGTCTCAGTGGTCTAAACTACTATTGACACTGACTTTCATCTTAAATTCAACAACTGAATGTAAAGTTGTAAAGCTAAGGGCACTGACTTGAGGCAATTAAAGAATATGTGAGCTTCTGCTTCTCACTGTATTTTTAGCATCTTCTAAACTACCTCGGTGAAGAGATTTATAACTGTGCCAGCTCTCAGGAGATTTTACGCTAGATCTGCATGCAACAAAATCAAAGTCACTTTACTCTTCTATAAAACAAACAAAACACTTCAGTGGTTAATAGAATAGCAACTATATTTCCTAATGGTGTTTTTAGTGGGACAAACTCTTTTTTTTTTTTTTTTTTTTTGTCTTTTTGAGACAGGGTCTTGCTATGCAGTTCAGGCTGGCCTTGAGCTCACTTTGTAGCCCAGGCTGGCCTCAAATTCACAAGGATCCTCCTGCCTCAGCCTCCCGAGTGCTGGGATTACAACAGTGCACCACCACATCTAGCAACTAACTCATTCTTATAGGAGTTTTTTGTTTTGTATTGTGTTGTGTTTTGTTTTAAGGAAATGAGGCCTTGCCATGTTACCCAAGCTGGCCTCAAACCCTTGGGATCAGGGAATCCTCTTGCCTCAGCCTCCAGAGTAGCTGGGCTCAGAAGCATATCCCACTATGCCCAGTGGGTCTATGATTTTAAAGGAAAGGCAGTAAAAGCCATAAAATGGGATAGAAGTTTCTATAGTGACCAATGGCCAGAGTAATAACCCTTACCTAACATCCTTCCCCACAGTCATAGCAGCAATCACTTTCTTCACAGCCTCCTTCCTCTTTTCTTTCTTTTCATTGTTGAGTTCAGCTTTTAATTCAAAGATTTCTCCTAGAAGAGATGAAGGCAAATGTGTGAGGTTCCAGGACCAGAGAACTAGAGCAGAATAGTACACTGTGCAAGAACTAGGACAGCATGGCAGGAACTGCAGTAAGATTAATTAAAAAAAAATCATAGAATATGTAAAATTCAAACCCTACAAGAGTACTTGGCTCACTGCCATGGACATTACCAATAAATTTTAAAAACCACCTAAGTTAGAAGCTTATGGTGCAATCCAAATCTTTAGGAACCAGAGAAATGAGAAAAAGTAAAATCTCATAATATCTAACTGCAATGGGGAAAGAACAGTGGGTAAGGGATTCTGATCTCCCATCAGAATTTTAAGGTACCAGAGAAAAAAATAAATGCAGGCAGGGTGTGGGCATAGAAATTAGCATTTCCAAACCAGAGAGGCATCACATGTTCTCTCATTTACTCACTCCCAACTTTACAGGTAAAGTAATGAGGCTCAAAGATCACAGTAAGTTAGCAACAGAGCCAGACTCTTACAGCTGTCTCCTGAATCCTGATAGTCTCAACCCTGATTCCACAATAATACCACTGGGAAATATTTAAAACATAATGCTCAGGCTCTGCATGAGCCAAATGAATCAGAATGATCAAACTGTCAAGGAGAATTTATACTCTCTCTTACTTCTGGTACTACGGATTGAACTCAGGTCCTTTGCACTGGGCTACAGTCCCAGTGGGTTTATTTTTTTCTTTTCTTTTCATTTTGAGACTGGTTCTCATTAAGTCACTAAGTTGCCCAGGTTGGACTTGAACTCAGGTTCCCAGAATGCTGGAGTTCTGGGAGTGCACATCATGCACAGCTCTACATCCACATTTTCAAAAGCTCCCCCAGCTACTGTAAATCACTGCTCTAGGAGGCCAGGGATATAGCTCAGCAGTATAGGCGCCTACCTGGCAAGCTCAAGATCCTGAGTTTGATTCCCAGTACCAAAAAAAAAATCATTGCTCTAATCAGTACTGTAGTAAGATAATAGGAATAGCTTTAAAGTCTCATCCTATTCAAAAAATCAGGAATAATTTTGATGTTGCAAGAATGGTACAAACTAGGGCCATTTCTAAAGCAGCAATCACTGGTATAGGAGCTGGGTGAGGTGGTGCACACCTGTAATCCCAGCACTAGGGAGGCTGAGGCAGGAGGATGGTTCCAAGTTCAAGGCCAGCCTTGGCTACAAAATGAGTTAAGGACCAGCCTGAACTGTATAGCAAGACCCTGTCTCAAAAAGACAAACAAAGAAACAAAATCACTGGTATAATCTTGAATGACTGTCTAGTCCCTCCACTGTGAAATGCCAGGGGTTGTCACCATTCTTTTTTTTTTTTGTCTTTTTGAGACACAGTCTCGCTATGCAGTTCAGGTTAGCCTTGAGCTCACTTTGTAGCCCAGGCTGGTCTCCAACTCACAATAATCCTCCTGCCTCAGCCTCCCGAGTGTTAGGATTACAGGTGTGCACCAGCATGCCCAGCATTGCCATTCTTTAAGGTCTAGTTTTCAGGCTCATTTATCTTTAGAATGCTGGGACTGAAATGAAAAAGAAAGTAACAGTCCTCATCTGTTTTAAATAAAAACAAAAGAAGAAACACCACTTTGCCCATGAGAAAAAGTTTGATGAATCCCATCTCTATCTTCCACCTATACCCTTAAATTTCTCCATCCTATGGCCTCATTCACCTTCTAGACTGTCCTGGATGTTCATTTTACCCAGCCCTCATCGACAAGCTGAGTATGTACTATGTGACCTCCTTGAAGCCCCAAGGAAGGATGAAATCAATAAGTGAGCATTAAAAGCTTGTTTCATCAATATCTGTCACCAAAAGGTAAGCAAAGTGTTATAAAATCACTATTTAATGGGCAGCTGCAAAAATAGCACATCCAGAGAAGCTAGGCTCTTTAACAAGTCATTATCTGCTTCCCCGAGTCCTATGCTGCCAAACCCAGTTCTTAGGGCTCTCCTCATTTACTTCTGGGAACAGTGGAGGACAAATAACAGCGTTTCAGAAATTCTAAACTATGAATAGCAGCAATAGTTGCTGAAGCAAAACAGGATGTAACTGAAATTATTCCAGTTCCAATAGCATAAATTTAAAGAATACTGTATGTTCCAGTGGCAGTTCTGGTGGGCGTTGCAGGAAGTAAAAGAACACAGACTATTCTTTTTTTTTAGAATGTGTTATTTATCCAGTCATGATTCAATCTGTAAATCTCAAACTTTTATAAATGCTCAAATAGAAAAAGGTCACCTGGATCCCTTAAAGAGAAGGTTTAAAGAGCTAGGTATGTTTTTAAAAAAATCTCTTTATGTTACCATAAGCAGTAAGTTGATTATCAAAGCACACAAAGCAATAAGTTGATCATCAAAGCATACAAAATATTAACAGAAAAAATAAATACATTTTCAAATGAAAACAAAGTCAAGAAAAGCTGAAATGAATGACCAGAGGTTCACAGCTTTTATGAGGTATAAATAATAAAGACAGGGAGGAAGAAGTTGGGTAAAGCCAAAGAGGCACAGTACCTTGTGTACTTGTGTACCACAACTTTGTTCTGTTCTTACCTTTTCCTCCCTCTTCTCTCTAATCCAATCTATCCAGCATTGGTAGCAACTAGAAATGGTTCTCAATCTTGGCTACACATTAAAATAATCTGGGAAGCTTTTAAAATCTCCATACTCTGACCTCTAAAACCAGCCATGTGGGAATAGAATCAAGGCACTGGTATTGTTTTTAAGTTCCAACTCCAATGTGTGTGTAGCCAAGGCTGGAAGTCACTGATTAGATATAACTAAGCAACTCACTACAGGGTTTTCTGTAATTATAATTGAAGAAAATGGTTACCTATACTTACTCTAAATATGACAGAGTTCTTGAGCTTTCTTAAAATGTGCTGGTGCTTGATACAGACCACTACCATATGCCCCTCTGCTTTTAAAAATTTTTATAAATATTTTCAATCTTAAAATTGCAAGACTCCCCATTTGTTAATATTTTGTCACAACTGCTTTATCATTACTCTCTATGTATCATTTACATGAATTATATGTGTATATATATATAAAATATATATTTTGTTTGTTTGCTTGTTTTTTTGAAACAGAGTCTCCTGCCTCACTCCTGAGTGCTACGATTATAGATGTATACCACCATGCCTGGCCATTCTCTACATAGCTGCATACCTTGTAGGCATCATATCTCTTTAGTCCTGAGGATATCAGTGTGTGTTTTCTAAGAATAAGGAAATTCTCTTAGCTTTAATTCCTAAAACATTGATACATTATTTAATCTAATCTACAGACCTTACCAAAAGGTACCAGTAATGTCCTTTGTAGCAACTTGATTCCCACTCTTTTAAAGAACAGAAGAAAAACAGAAATAGAGTTGGTGTCATACATAGAATATGTCACTAAACATAAGGCCTGCTGAAAGTAAAAAGCACAGACTTGTGATCCTGAGAAACAAAGCAAGATAGTTGACATTGTAGTAAGGAGATATGAGCTAAACTAGTCTGTCTTTGACAGGAGAGCCATCTATACCTCTAGAAATGACATGAACAATTTTGCAAAAGATGAGAGGTTACCCTATAAGGAATACAATCATTTTTTTGGATTGTAAATACATACTAAAAAAAAAAGATGGGAGGTTAGACTTTTCCAAGAATCCTTAGTTCTTAAACCCAAATTCATACATAAAAACCAGCATCAGATTACTGATCAAAAAGATGAGGAGGCTAATTAATCAAGGCTACTCAAGTAATTCAGTTGATGACCTACAAAAATCATAGAACCAGCTTTAGATGCTCCCATTTCAAATGCAGATCTAGACAAACAGTGAGATAGATCTATATGGAAGTTTTTATGTATTGTTTTGCATTATCCCCTTTTCATTAAATATAAAAATTTTTAAATATGTATTAACAATATACTTAAATGCACAGGAAAATATTGACGATACATGTTCTCACTTGCTTTAACTGTAGTGTTATAAATTTTTTTATTTCCAAGTAAAAATTAGAAAAGAATAAATGCTGCTGCTTGTCTTCCTCATATGTCAGTCTTCAACTGATTGGTATTATTTTCAATTAGCAAATACTCCCTGCTTTTCACTAAACTAGAACCTTCCTAGCAAAATGATGTGCCCCACAGCTCTGTCTTTAAAAAGCTGTATTCCAGGGCTGGAAGGGGAGCTCAGTGGCAGAGCGCTTGCCGAGCATTCATGAGGCCCTGAGTTGAATCTCCAGCAACACACACATACACACACACACACACACACACACACACACAAAACACCCAGTAAAACAAAACAAAATCTTATACTTTAATAACTTATTCAAATACACTTATTCAAATACACATGTAGAAGCAATAGCCAATAAGACTGTCCACAAAATTCACACCTGAGGAGAGCAGGCACATTTTATTTGGAACACTCTAACTCTAAAACTTTTGAAAAAACCCCAAGATTTGACCAGGTGCTCTACTTACCCTTTTTATTGGTTGTGAAGTACTTGGAGTCAGTCATGATTCTGGGTCTTTACACCTGTAGCAAGAAAAATGAATAACCTTATATAGATTATCTATATTCAGCAAGTCATCGGGTCAATTCTAAGAACACCGAACACATTTTTTTTTTCTGAGACAGGGCCTTGCTCTTATTTCAGACTGGCCTCAAACTCGTGGCAATCCTCCTGTCTCAGCCTCTTCACTGCTGGGATTACAGTGCTGGATGCCACCATGCCCAGCTGAATTCATTTTAAGAACATTTTTATTTAAGAATTTCTACTCTCAAAAATGAATATCTTCTTTCTTAATATCACCACTGGTGTCACAAAAGATACAAAGAATATTAAAATATGTAACTCCTCCCTAAGGAAGTTATATAGGGGCAAAGTCTAAATGCCAAATGGAAAGGGACAATAATCTGAACTTATTACGGCTTTGTGATTTTATACAGAAGTATCTCCTCAAAGCCTTCAAGACTGGCAGCTAGACCTCTTTGTAAGTAGTGTATATATATTTTCAATTAATCACTTAATCATGTAGGGTAAGGAAAAGCTTTTTTGGTTTGGGTTTTTTTTTTGGTTTGGAAGCTTTCTCCATAATCTTTTGCTCAGGAATATTTGATTACTTCCCCATTTCAGAAGGGAATCGCTCCAAAACATATATTCTGATATGTATATATATCATCTATATATATATATATATATAGGCAGCTGCATATATCATATATATATATATATATATGATATATATAGTAAGCCCAAAGAAAAACCAAGCTGCGGATATAGCTAAGGTAGAGTGCTTCTCTAGCATGCGTGAGGTCATGGGCTTGAGATCCCTAATACAAGAAAAATAAATTTTTTGCCTTTGCCAGGCATGATGATACATGCCTGTAATCCTAGCACCTGAGAGGCTGAAGCAGGAGGATCCAAAGTCAAAGGCCAGCTTAGGTAGCATAGCAAGTTCAAGGGCAGACCCTGCCTCAAAAACAAATAAAACAAAAAACAAAACAAAGGAAACATGGGGAAAGGGGATTTAGAGACAGAGGGAGGGATGTGGGTATGGAGGGAAAAGGAAATTTTAAAAAATGAAGAATGTAAACTGAAAACATATATTACTAAAATAAAATTTTAAAAAGAAACTCTAAGACTTTGTCCAACATACCAACTTCTTTAAATATATTCAACTTTCTTTAAATAATATTCCTCCTGCACTCAAAAATGGGTATCTCTTTCCCTAGCACCATAATTAACAATGCTTATTATCAATTTCAGGACAAGATCTCCTGGCACCTACTCGTTACTATCAAGTAAATACAACTTGAGTGAAAATACATTTGGCAAACAATTATAAACATGGATCTGGGAAAAATGACCTACAGTACTCAACAATCAATGTAACTAAAGAAAAGAAAAAGAACCAGATAAACTTAAAATGACAAAAAGAGTCTGGTTTGAATCTGATCACTAAAATGTGCTTCTTGTACAACCTATTGGAAATTAAGACTTATCTGCTATCTTTCCAATCAGTCATTTACTATTTATGTTCTTGATCCTAATATAGTAGAGCTCTTTAAGTTGTACCAAAACTTCACTGAATTACCATGTTAAAAGAGCTGAGCTAGAACTCACAAATATCATTACATATTACAGAAATTTCCATTCTAATATTATAATTAAAAATCTGTAAAAGAAGCTTGCCCTATTCAGTGTTTTCCTAATGGCTTTCTAGCACATATTTAAAGAATGCTATAATCATTTAATCCATTCACAATGTAAATTAAATGCAAAGTGGACATATGAAGAAAGGAATTTTTTTTTTTTTGAGACAGGGTCTCACTGTGTAGTTCAAGGGGGCCTAGAACTCACTATGCAGCCTAAGCAGGAGCCTTCTGCCTCAGCCTACTGAGTGCTGGGATTACAGGTGTGCACCACCACACCAGGCTGGAATTCTTCATACAAAAAAAGACATGGAGTGAATCTGAAGTTATCTAAATATACAAACAGATAAACCAATATATACAAATGTTTACAAGAGCCTGGTGGGAGGGCTATCATTCAAATTCACTGTGGTCTACCTAGGATGTTGTTGGCCATTTTAGATCCCACGGTGAAACAGGAAAATGGATCCCCAACAGAACAAATCACCCCAACAGAGTAGGAGAAAAGGGCGACTTTAATGAAGCCAGTGTTTCCATGGGGGACTTGTTCTCCGGAGACCACTCCGCAAGGCTCTACTTTTACCCTATGCTGTTTCTACAGGAACATCTCTCACTGCTGGGCAACACCAAGAGAAATGATTACAGAGCAGAAGCACAGCAGTGGGTAGGTTGAGTGGGAAACTCTGGCAGGACTTTCCAGGGCCATTATGCTCTGCTGACACTACATACCTGTACCTGTACACAGCTGTGGCCATAACCACCAAATTTCTCAGGGAGCTTAGCTGTACAGTTAACCCACAGCTGCCCAATTTCACCCCAAGAAGTGGTTTCTTCTCTCAATGGGATCATTAAAACTTAAAACTTGCTTAAGATTTAAAAATAAAATTTGCTTAGAAAATTTCACCCAGCTTCTAGGAAAAAGTACACAAAATTATTCTGTGTTCTAGAGCTCCATCCTGTTAAACAGTAAACCAGGTCTTAAATCAGTTCCTTCATTAATAAACCATGTATTTCATTATCTCTCCTAACAAATTTCAAGGTAGGAATATATTTCTGTCTTGTTCATTGTAAGAATTCAGTGCTCTTATCTTAATTAAATAATGCACCCATCCACAAAATTTCAGGGATGAGAAGGTCAGATACTGTTAGAAGCCCATAACAGAGATCCTAAAGGAAGAATCTCTGCTCTAAAAAGATAGGGGCTGGGGAAATGAGTTTAGGGGTCGAGTTCTTGTTTGTCTAGCAGGTACCCTCAGTTCAAGCCCAGGAATAGAGAGAGGGGAAAATGCTAAAGAGAGGAGAAAAACATCCCTCTCTTAACTGATACCACTGGAATGAAATATTCACTACAAGTATACCAAGTTGGTCCTTGCCCTAAGCTAAAAGAAACTTAATGAAAAGTAAAAACAGTCTAAACAAAATAAAATGAGAAGAGGTGGCTATACAACACTATGTGTATCTTCCATGAAACTGAATTGTTCATCTTTTTTTTGTCTTTCTGAGACAGGGTCTCACCAGTTCAGGCTGGTTTTCAACTCACTTTGTAGCCCAGGCTGACCTTGACCTGGCAGCAATCCTCTTGCCCCAGCCTCTTGAGTGGTAGGACTGTAGGCATGTGCCACCACACCGGGGTGAATTGTTCATCTTAAAATGGTTAATTTTACAGAATGTGAATTTCACCTCAAAAAATTACACGTATATGTTTTTAAAAAAGGAATATGAACACATAGCCAGAATCTCCAAAATACAACAAAAATTGATGTCTCCATTAGAAGGCACAGAAAGAGTAGACAAGATGGAGTTGAAGAAAAAATTAAGTATTTCCTGAAATCTATCAGAAATCAAAGTGGAGGGTGAGAGCGATTGCTCCTCAAAAGGGCCCAGAATAAGCAAAGCTATGATGAAATTTGAACTCACACTACCTTTCTACAAGATCAAACCTGACAAATCACTGGTTTTTCTGAGAACTTATGGTACGGCCTAGGGACCTTGTTAAACAACAAAGTTGCCACAGTCCAAGCACATAATCACTTTTTCTGCTCCTAGCCCAGAGTGTGATGTCACTGCATTTTACAAAAGGCCTCCTTGCACAAGTTATAGATCTAGATTTAACATAACCTAGTTTCTTCCAAATATAGGTTGTGAAAAGCCTTCCTCCCTTTCCACTCCTCCCTCCCTCCAGTTCCCCAAAAGAGATGCTCAGCAGCAAAGTAAGACTAAATAGCGTGGGTAGAAATAAGATCAGAAAAAAAATTAATAAGATCCTAATTTCAAATGGCTCTCTGGGAAGCAGAAGCTAAATTAGAGGTGCTTAAGGCCATTACACTCTGGTTTTACACAGTTCAGTACTCACGATGAAAAACTAGCCAAAGTTAAGAAAATATACAACAGAAAAAAAAATTATTAAGCAAAAAGATTATTCCAGCAACCTTTTATTACAAGGATTGGAGGTGTTAACTTCATTTGAAATCAAATATTCAAGAATAACACAAAAACAGCAGCCTCTTCAGGTATCATTTAGCTCATTATAAATTATGAAACACTTCAAAGCTAAAATCACCTGAAATTTGTTTAATATGACAGACTACAAAGTAATGTGCTAATATAGTACTGTACTATACAAAAAGAAAGTAGCTCAAACGTTTCTGTCCAATTGTTATGAATACCAATATATTCTGGAAAACTTAAACCTGGAAGGAAAGAACAGCCCATGTCGTGAATTCCTATTTCTTGCTCAGCTTGGTTCAAACTCACGTCTAAAACGCTGATCTTTTATAGAAGGATAAAAGAAGAGAACTTCCTTGAGTTTCTTCAACTTAGTCAAAATGTTAGTTTTATATTAACCTTACCCAGCTTTCAGGGAGGCTGTCTGTAGGATACACTATCTTTTCTATTTCCTAAGGAGCTTTAACTGTTAGGATACCTGCGAAGAGTTCTCACCTTACCAGCAAGCTTAGTCATCCTTGGAATGTGTTACACATTTTCTTGTACACCTGCAGCTCCTTCATCGGCTGCTTTCCATTATTACTTTGGAAATGTACCCTTGGGCTAAGCAATAGAACTACTGTATACAAGGATGGTAATTAATAATTTAAATCGTTCCTCACTGAGACCACCTTCTGAGTCATCCTGCCTTTCTAAGCTTATTGTGTTTTCATTACTTTTTTTTTAAACCACAAGGTTATAATAGCAGCTAAAAAAAAAAAACAACAACAACCAAAAAAACCCTTCTCTTTGGAAAGTCAAAAGTTCATGAAGCACCCACACCACATTCACATAATGATTAGCAGCCAAGTGAGTTCAATAAAAGCCTACTCCCAAATAGAGGACTGCTCTGAAAACCCACCAACACAAAATCTTCGAATGCAAAGAATACGGAAATAACAGGAAATTCCAGTTTCTTTACTTTTGGCGTAATCTACAGCCCTTCCCAAACCAGGCTTTTCCTGCTAAACCCAGGGTGGGGGGAAAAAAAAAGGGAAGAAGAAGAAGAAATCTAGGCTACGATTTACTCCCACTGGCTTCCCTCTCTCACTCGGGATCAATTCTGTAGGTTCCTCTCCTTTTTCTTCTCCAGGGGGTCAAGACTCTAGGAATACATTCGCCCGTTACCAGGTAGGAGAGAGGTCTGTAACCTTAAGATACAGGAGGCAGGCGAGGTTTCAACGGAGAAACCGCTGGGGAGATCCCTTTCCTCTTGGACACGTCCCAGGCTCTCAATGAACGCCCCGAGCGGGAAGGACGACCGTTCCTCCGGGGCCGCCAGCGTCTCCCGGCCACACCCCTGGCCTCGGCCCTTCAAGCCCCAAGACCTCGTGTTTTCCCTTCGAAGCCCCCAACTACCTGCTGCCACACCCGGGCAGATTCTCCTCCCACCACAGCTTCACAGCGGTGGAGACCCTCTCTTCCACCCTTTTCCTCACAACGGTCACACCCGACGGCTCCCTCCATCCTCAACGGTCACGCTCCTAGGATTTCCTTTCCTCTCCAGGGTTTCCCACCGAACCTGGGGTTTCCCCTTCTCGTCGTCCCCCACCCCCCAAATTAGGGACACACCCAAAACCAGCAGCCTTGAACTCACCGGAGGCAAGGGCTGGGAGTGGCGGTGGCAACCAGACAGCACAGCCTGGGTGGTGTTGTAATGGTTTCCTGCCCGTCACGACTCTTTCTCTAGGTCTAAGCCACTGCGCAAAACCCAATTTTGCCAGGGACAAAGATGGTGGGCCGGAAACTTTGACATCAAAGTACCTCGCCGCGTGACGTCATCCTGGTGCGCGGGAGACTTAGAAGGTTAGGCGTCTCTATCGCCTTGGAGACGCAAATATTCTGCTAGATTAGGGTAAAGCCTGGAGGCTGGGGCTTCCAAGATGGTCAGTGGCCATCCCACTCGGTATATTAAACGAACTGATATTCTCTGGATTTATTTCTCGCATAAGGATTTTTCTTAAACACACAGAGGCGTGAAACAACCTGTCCTTTTACTTGAAAGCAAACTAACCTCGGCTCATTTTTCTGGTTCAGGAGCTGACAGTGGAGGCAGAGCTCCGGACTACTCATGGACAGTGGGCAAAGATTGAGAAGCCATCTGATCTGTGTTCGAATTCTTCCCCTGAATGTGACTGGGGAAATGTTTAACATCTAAACTACAGTCTTTTTATGTTGTTGAAACTTAAATGATATAGTGGGTAAAACAGCATGCAATCTGCTTGCACAAAAGATTCTTTCTGAAACTAAAATCTGAAACCCAGTATCTGTGAGAGGATAACAAGGATAATGAGGGTAAGTGAAACTAGCTTTCCCTAAAGTTTATTTGAAGGTGTGAGGGAGGGTAGAGAGCAAGGGATGGTTTGTTGGCTTTTCCCTGATGTTGTATGATCCTCCTGCCTTATCCTCCCAAGTACCTGGTATTACAGGCATGCACCCAGCTAAGGATGGGATTTTTGATGAGATACTTATTTGTTGATTGTGATAATGGACATTTTTTGGACTGCCTTTTTCTCATATAACTTCAGTTTACTTTTGGAGTATCCTCAAGGGACTATTAATCAAGGCACTTTACCCCTCCTCTAGCTAAGAGTAAAATAAAGTGGAAAGGGAATCTGAACCAAAACTGGTCGGTTGGAATTTGAATCACAAGCACAGTGACAAATATAAAATGATTGAAACTCATTCACTGTGACAACATTGCCTGCATGAGACTAATTCCTGCTATAGAAATCCAGTAGGATTGCGTAGTTCCTATTCTTTCAGGAAAGGCTTATTTTTTGAGCCACTCCATACACTTTCTTTTTTTTTTTTTTTGTGGTACAAGGAATCAAACTCAGGACCTAGTGCTTGTGCCACTGAGCTATATCCCCAGCCTTCCATACACTTTTAGTAAATTCTTTTTTTTATTTTAAATTAGCCTGTTTGTTTCTGTTGCTTTCAACTAAAGAACTCTGGTCAACACAACTGTTTAATTTCCCACTTGTTTTTAAAATTTTATTTAATTAATTAATTAGTCTTTTTGAGACAGGGTCTCACTATGCAGTTCAGGCTGGCCTCGAACTTGAAACGATCCTCCTGCCTCAGCCTCCCGAGTGCTGGGAATACTTACAGGCCTATGTAACCACGCCCAGCTTCCCATGTCCAGTTTCCCACTTGTTATTTCTACACTTTGTATTTTTGCTGTTCATTTAAGTTTATATATACTGTAGTAGTTATAAATGGCTTGGGGACCAGCCATTTTATAAAGACACATTAGCTGTAAGAATATTTCTCTGAGGGAAAAGGAAAAATTGTGTGTATGTGTATATATATATATAGATATATATATATATACACACACACGATAATTAAGATAGTGTTACTACTAATTGCTATTAGTTCATTGAAAAGAAAGGCTCATGCCTGTACTGTTTGATCAATTTTTCATGCCTATATCTTGTAATATGAGCAATTACTTTGAAGATAATATGCAATGTACTAACCATTGTTACTCTCCTACAATCTTGTTTTGAAATTCTGTATGATTTTTTTTTTTTCTTTAAAAAAGGAGTATTTCTTGGGCTGGGTGTGATGTCATAGGCCTGTAATCCCAGCACTCAGGAGGCTGAGGCAGGAGGATTGCTGTAAATTTGAGGCCAGCCTGGGCTACATAGTGAGTTCATAGCCACCCTGAACTACACACCAAGACTCTGTCTCAAAAAAAAAAAAAAAAAAAAATTCTCTGGCAGGTATTTCATTAAGAGTAAAAAACATTTTGGAGTTATAATCAAGGGGAACTTTTAAGGTAGAAAAAAAAAAAACCCAGACTTTTAAAAAAAAAGGGTCTTTTTTTAAAAGGTGCTATCGTTATTTTATTTTAGTTTTTTGACAGAAGGTCTCGCTACGTAGTTCAGGCTGGTTTTGAACTAACTATGTAGCCTAGACTGGCCTCAAACATGTAGGGATCCTCCTGCCTCAGCCTCCCAAGTACTGGGGCTACAGGCCTGCACCACGACCCTCCATCAGACTTTGTTTTTTGAGGGTTCTCATTATACAAACCAATTGCCTACTTTTACATGTAAAATCCTGTAGAGCAGTGAATACCTTCTATTTCTCAATATTTAGCCGAGACGTGAGAAGGAAATTATGAGAAGCTGACTTCTTATCCAAATCCAATAAGTCCATATCAGTAACTCAAAAGAGATAAAGTTGAATACCAATTGTATTTTGCAAACTGTATGGTAGGTTATGTTACTTTTGGTATACAAACTGTTAACCTTCCCCAGTTCACGCTTGATTCATCAGGTCCCACCACTTTAGCACTATATTCACATCGCTTATGTGATACATCCTACTAGGAATGAGGGCAGGAATAATTTTCATTTCATACAGCAAGTGCCTAAAACTGTAACTGGATGTAACACATGAAAGACAGTTAATCTACCAGCTTGGATAAAAATTAACCGTCCCAAGTGAAGAACAAGCAGAACTTTTCTCACCCTATGTATTAAATTTTCTTCATAATTGGCTACAATAAAACTAAAGCTTCTATTTCCTGCGCTGTCGCTTGAAGTCCTTTCCGGAAGGCGGCAGAAGGTAAAGTGAGCAACACCTATGCTGCAGGTGTACAGACGGCGACTTTCCAGTTTCCAGTCCTTTCCTTCCTTCCTCCCTCTGTCCGCCCCGAGATCGGTCGCCCGCAAGAATACAGGTCTCAGCTGGGCCAGGGCTCCGGCTCCCGGCGCCAGTCCGGAGCAGAGAGACCTCAGTAGGTAGAAGATCAGAGACTTTATACCTAAGGCACCATGCACAGTTAGCCAGGAAGAAAACAAAACAGCTGAGAATTCACAAGCAAAACTCATACGCAAACCCCCACAATTCACCTCTTTAAATTCAGAGGGGCGGAAGCGGAAGTCCCTAGAAGATCATAGAGTTCGCTAGTTCCGGTTTCACGGCCGTGTGAGCCTCTCTTCCGCCCGCCCTCCACGAGATTCCTGCAGCGTGTAGTTCCGGGTGTGGATTCTGTCATAAAGACGAGACCTCCCATGAAGGGTGGCGTCGTGGGCCCTTCGCGTCTCGCGCAGGGTCAGGGAGCAAGGACAAGCGCGGGCAGGGATGCTTTATAGCCAACGGCTGGAGGCAGTTTTCGTGTCCCGGGCCGGCTGTGATATCTCCGATCCCTGAGAGCCGGCTGGCTTTTCAGCCATCACAAAAGAGGGTGGCAGTTTCTCAGCTGCAGAAGATACCGCCCCCTTAGCCCATACCTGTTAACCAAAGTCACGATCGGCCCTGTGAGGTGCAGCGTTTGACACCTCCCCTCACATAGCACTTCACCCGCGTAGGCGTTAATTTCACTTTGAGACTCCTTCCCTCCACGTCTTTGCCTCAGTTGAATTTCACTTGTAAAATTGAGCGCTTGGAGTTTCAGGTATGCAGAAAGAGCACCGGTAGACACCGCCCCACCCCCACCAGCGCATGCTCACTAGAGAGTTTGTGGGAAAAGTGCAATCTGGAACGCACAGAATATTATGGCTGAGTACGGGGCTCATATCACAACTGCTTCTGTGGCGGATGACCAGCCATCCATCTTTGAGGTGGTTGCACAAGACAGTTTAATGACAGCAGTGAGACCTGCTCTTCAGCATGTGGTCAAGGTAAGATATTGTCTGAAGGGTTTCAGGGACGGGGTTAAAATTCAGTTAAGTTTTGCTTATTTGGCAGTCTAGGGTTGGAAATAACCAATTTGCATATAGTTTATATCCCACGGCCTAATGGGTATTTAGTCTCTAGAGACTTGTGGTGAGTACTAAGCACTTCGGGGAGGTTTTAGGGAACAAGCCGAAATAACTTCAGCCAAGTGTGTAGAATTTAGGGGAAAAAAGGAAATGTAAATAAACGTATAGTAGATGTGTAAAAGACTGAATTTCATTTATTTTGCTTTAGGTTCTTGCAGAATCAAATCCTGCCCACTGGGGCTTCCTTTGGAGGTGGTTTGATGAAATCTTTACTCTGCTAGATCTTCTGCTTCAGCAGCATTATCTGTCTAAAACCAGTGCCTCGTTTTCTGAAAACTTCTATGGTTTAAAGCGGATAGTAATGGGGGACTCTCCCAGGTTCCAGACATTGGCCAGTGCTGGTCTCCCCACAAAGCACCTCTGGAAATCAATTATGTTTCTGGTTCTTCTTCCCTATCTGAAAGTGAAGCTGGAGAAGCTGGTTTCTAGCTTGAGAGAAGAGGATGAATATTCTATTCACCCCCCTTCTTCCCACTGGAAACGATTTTACAGAGCCTTTCTGGCAGCCTACCCGTTTGTTAACATGGCCTGGGAAGGCTGGTTTCTAGTACAGCAACTCCGGTACATTCTAGGAAAAGCTCAGCACCATTCACCTCTACTGAGACTGGCTGGAGTTCGACTAAGTCGGCTGACAGTTCAAGATATACGAGCTCTGGAGCAGAGACCTGAAGCCAGTTTGATGCAACCAGCCAGAAGGTAAGCCTTAACAGTTCCAAAAAAAAAAAAAAACCTTTTAACAAATTCTAAACTCTTATTCCCACTTTATGAAATTTATATTTCTCAGTCCACTTTATTTTGTAAAATCAAAGTTTTTCCTGTGTTCATAAAGAAGTGCCATCTGCTAACCATCATATTCAGTAGTTACATTTTAGTGCACACTTGCTATGTGCCGGGCCCCATTGTTTGCTTTATGTATATTATCTTAAGCTTCATTACAATGCAATGAAGTATGTGCTCCATTTAACAGTTGGGGGAATGAAGCCCTCAAGGCTAAGTACTTTGGCCTATGCTGCCTAGCTATGATGGCTGAGCTGACATTCAAGGCATATAATACAGCTGTAAAGACTGTTCTTTACTATGATGCTGTAGCTACTTTTTACTACTTGTGTTTTCCAACAAGTTCAAATATGTATATACTGCTCAGTACTGCCAAGTTACTTTTTAAGTGATTTTTGTTTCTGGGTGCCCTTCTACAAAAAAAGTATATATACTAATCGAATTCTCTGGTAATGTCTTTATCAAAACAAATTCCTAACCTTACTGAGAATGAAGCTTAGCACCTTTGCATCTAAAATACTATCAGAAAAGACCCATCTAGAATAGATTGAGACAGTGCCACCCTGCTACCTCTTCAATGCCCAATCAGTGATTCTGATGAAAATCAGGTCTGTATTAGTGATTCTAGGATTACACCTAAAGTTTTTCTCTTTGCCTTGTTTTCTTTTCCCAACAGTATTAGTGAGAAGATAAAGTCAGCTCTGAAGAAAAGTGTGGGAGGTGTTGCCATTTCCCTCTCTACTGGCCTTTCTGTGGGTGTATTCTTCCTACAGTTCCTTGACTGGTGGTACTCGTCTGAAAATCAAGAAACGATCAAATCATTGACTGCCCTGCCTACTCCACCACCACCTGTACACCTAGATTACAACTCTGATTCTCCTTTGTTACCCAAAATGAAGACTGTGTGCCCGCTGTGTCGGAAAACCCGGGTGAATGATACTGTTCTCGCCACCTCTGGTTATGTGTTTTGCTATCGTTGTGTGTTTAATTATGTGAGGAGTCACCAAGCTTGTCCCATCACAGGTTACCCAACAGAAGTACAACATCTAATTAAACTATACTCCCCTGAGAACTGAATGAGATTAGCATATTATCTCACAACTTAAATATTGCACTGTAAGGCCACAGGGCTATTTTTTAGCGCAGTACAGAGCACTGCCATCTCTCTGCCCTAATTCATATAGATATTAACTCTGAACAACAATATAGATATCTTTAAAAGGATATACCTATTTGATCCTTACATTTTAGCCTGTTCTCTAGAGCCCTATTTACAGCTGACCATGCTGGTTAAAGTAAGAACATCAAAACTGTAGAGGATGTGAGCACAGAAGGAGGTGGATAAAAAAGAGTAACTAGTACGGAAGCTTTCCTTGTTTTTTTTTCCTTAGGGAATAAACGGTATAGAAGCTTCCAGGAAAACCCCAGCTTACATCTCATAAAATGGTGGTGAGGGGAAGCAGGCCTCCTCTTTAGAAAAGGATTTATTTGCCTATGAGGTTTTATCAGTTCACAATGTGAAACACAGACCTATTCTTTACAGACACTTGAACATGTGACCCACTTGTTCAGTGACATCTGCTGCAGTTTTTCAACATTTGAAGATGAGCCATACATATCTGAGGAAGCTAGTTAAAGGAAAATGGAGGATGTTTAGAGAGGGTAGTCTGAAAATTTTAGTGACACAACAAAGCTAACAAGCAGTGAAGAGATAAGTGAAATACTTACCTAGTTTTAATGAAAGGACCTTTTAATAAGCTCTTTCTGCTTACTCTTAATTGCTTGCTCAAATGGCATGAATTATCCTGGTTGTTACTAAAGTTTCTGTGAAACAAATCTTAAGAGTAGATCACAAAGAACTGTCATGATTATATGGAAACAAATCTTACTTGAGGCATTTAAAATAAATTTCCATACAAATCACCTTTTGAGTTTTTGAGGTATTTTTGTATTGATTAACGTGGAGTTTTTTGTTGTTACTAATCCAATAATGAGAACAAAACTCTGTTCCAGCAAGACTACAATCTTGTGCAAAATACCTAGTATCAAAATACTGCAGCAACACTTAAATTGCCTTTTGTAGCAAAATCTATGCTGCTGGATTAGCAGGTTAGTGAAAACATGGGTTTCAAAAAAAATCAGAAGAGGACAAATGAAAGTAATGTGTATCTTTGCTGAGATACATGTTTTTTCAATACTTGAACTCATTTAACAATTTATTCACTTTCGGTTTTTTTAGAAACAGAGTCAGGCTATTAGTTTAGGCTGTCCTTGAACTCACTATGTAGCGCAGGCTGGCCTCGATCTCAGTGTTCCTCCTGCCTCAGCCTCCCGAATGCTGGGATTACAGGCTTGTGCCACCATGCCCAACTTTTCATTTAACAATTTAAAGTACATTCTGAAAGCATGAAGATGATACAGCTAAATACTGAAATGGAATATCCATCCTGTTGATTTCAAAATACTAAAACTATTACATACCATAAAAAAGAGTATAATGGTTATTTTTAAAATTTTTGTAACACCTCAGAGATTTTTACCAAAACAAACACCAGTTAATTGAAACACTTTTAATACAATAATAAGGCACCAGGGAAGTGATTCAGATTCAGGACTTAATGATATAAGTCCTCAATGAAGATTTCGAAGCCAGATATTTCATCTTGACCTAAGAAGAAAAACATGAAAGCATCAGTAATTCAAAAGGATATCAAACACTCTTACACATAATAAAACCGTAATCCAAATACATGTATGTGTGTTCTAATGCCACAACTGGAATCAGCTCAGAGAGAAGATTAAGGGATCATACCCTGGTCAAAGCCAATACTGAAGCAATGGCAATACCAGGTCAAACTATACTTCACTCATCATCGCATCATTGCATTTCACCTCCTTGTATTACCTAAAAGCAGTCGGATGCCCTAGTCCCACATGGAAGAAAACTCAGGCTTACCTATAGGGGAAAAGTGCTTTTTAGGTAAGTTTCAATTATGGGTTTAATAATTACGTTTCACTATGCTTTAGCTAACTGTGCCAAAGAGAACAAGTTTTTGTTTTTGAAACAAAAACAGAGAAGCATTTATCACTTAAAAACAATTTTCTGTTTATATGAGCCTAATTCTCATGATAAAATCTCAGGGATGTTTAGGATTTATAGCTCAGCTTTAAAGCAGAAATTTTAGAAAAGATTTCTTACTAAATTAGTACAGCTTATTTAATATAAAGTTCAATTTGTAGTTCTGATGCCAGTAAAGATAAGAATAGTTACAATGCCTGGCACAACAAATGTGCCCGTAGTCCCAGCTACTTTTGAGGCTGAGGCAGAAGGTTCACATCAACCTAGAAGTTAAGAGGCCAGCCTGAGCATAACATCCTGTATCTAAAACAAAAAATATAGTCACAAATTTTTTTTTATCAGAATCTTCTAATGTAAGAACCCAAGACTCAAGAGAAGCTATGATTTGACAAAGGTCTATAGCAAATTAACAGCAAAGCTACAAAGAAAACTGAGGTCTGATTGCCAGATCTACATATATGTATTTTCCACTACTAGCTTCCAGGTACCTGCCCTTTAATGGAGCAGGCCATGAGCAGTATAAAGCAAGGCAAAGTCTGGATATTTTGCAACCTAGTAATCAATTTCTGAATGAGAAAGCTCAATGCATTTCAATTATTTCAAATGACACCTGGTAGTATACTATTGCTGACATGAAAAAGTAACACATCACAAAGTCATCCTTTCCAATATTCAACATGATACTGTCAATATTTAAATAATTCAGGAGGCACCATATACTTTCCTCCATCATTTATAAATGTCAACAGCCTGATACTCTACATTTTACAACTGACAGCTGTTGGTCTGTGTTCACCATTCAGCAACCAGGCTCCAGAGTGGAAATAACCAGGTTCCTATTATAAAGGAGCTATGCTTGACCACATTAACCCCTTCAGATGAAACAGATCCACATTAGCAATGAGCATAGGCTGAGAGAAATTGTTACTATCTAGGGTCATGAAACGTGAGGACTACTAATCTTGAACCAATGTATACTTGACTTTAGAGCCCATGTTCCTTCCACTTGACCACACTGCTGTCTCAATGGGTGTTCTGCCTTTACTTTCCATCCTATCCAACATAAACACCTTAACCTTATAGAGGTGTGATTATCATTACAAACATTCAAATTGCTCACCGTGGTCCAAGAAATAAAATCTGAATTACTTTCCTTAGCATTCAAGATGTTTCAAAACTGACCCACCCATACAAGACTGCAGCATCAAAAACAAACAAAAATACTGACCTAAACTTATACTTAATATAACCCTAACTACATGTGCTTTACCTTTAAATCCAACCCAGACTATTCCAAAGTCCTCAAACCTGCTCAATTTGACCCTTTACCTTCCATTTAGAAAGTCTTTCTTCCCCTCACTTGAAACCCTTCCTGAACTTCAATCCAACCTCTCTAGTTTGTGACAGCCCCAAAATGCCACCTTTTTCATGAAGCCCTGTCCCATGAATCCAAAAGAAAATTTGTCCTCCGTGTTGTGGTAGCACATTAGTATTTATTTTGTGGAACCTGTTTAATTTTGTTTTAAGATACAAATAGAAATGCTAACATGAAATTCAAGATCTCTGTTCTTGCCATATATGGCAAATACACTTTCCTAGGAGAATGCCTAATTATACTTCTAGAAGTACAAGGGTGATCATAAACTATGGTGAATATTTAAATTAAAAACATATACAGCTGGGTGTGGTGGCACAAGCCTGTAATCCTAGCACTTGGGAGGCTGAGGCAGGAGGATCACTACGGGTTTGAGGCCAGCCTGGACTAAACAGAGAGACCCTGTCTCAAAAAAAAAAAACAAACCAAAATCAAAACCAAAAATTACAGTCAAAGGCATATAGCCAAGGCATATTATTTTGAAAAGGATTACTGACAGCAGGTTTTGATCACCTCCTCATTGATCAAACGTTTATAGCAATTTCTATCCAAAAAATAAAAATAAAAAAATAAAAAATAAATCCCGGTGTGTCCACACCCACCTTATTTATCGGATCTGGCACAGGGCTACTTCTGGCTCTTCTCCAAAGTTAAAATGACCATAAAAGGTAAGCGTTTTGAATGGTTCAGGACAAGGAGGCAGTTTTAGATGTCAAGGCAACTAAAGGCATTCATGAAAGAGGACTTCCAGAACTACTCCAGAAAGTGGAAAGGATGGGATAAGTGTTTGAAGCGAGGGGGACTACTGGCAATGTGTCTTCCGTAATAAAATTTGGGGGAATTAAACATTCGTATTTTTAAAACACACTTCATACTTAAATGTCCCATTTCCTTAAGTGTCCTAACCTCCTCAGTATTCTTTTCCTCTGACTCCCACTGCTTTTTTTCCCCACTACATGTCAACTACTGACCAGTTCGCGTTTCTTTCCATCTCTCTCTTTCTGTCCAATCACAAAGATTTCCTAAACCACCAGGAGTGTTTTACGTGCCTGGTACATAGCTCAATAAATAAGCACTTAATTCAGTTAATGTGCGACACTCCCTCCTAAGCCCTAAATATCAGCACAATTTATTAAAGCCAACTTACCTCCAACATGTCACGTGGGAAGAGACCATACTTTAAGCACCTCCAAGCCCTCATTCCCCATCTCTACCTCAAGGCGCTTTGCACAGATTCCTCAAAGCAAGGCGGGATAGCCAATGCCTTACACAACAGATGCTCAGAATAAAACACAAACTGCGGCCACTTCAGGAAAGACCGAAGCCATACCTTGTGTGAAAACAGAAATAAGGCTGGAGCCAGGGCACAACCCAACCCCCCAATCAGGAAACAGTAACTCGCTTTGTGAATTCCCAAATCTCCTAAGCCCGGGAGAAACAAGAAACGTTATCTTTTCCCATCCTGAAAAAATAACACCCAGACTCCCAAAGCCTCGGATGGGCGCAGACTCGCTTCCGGCTTCCAGAGACCTCTCTCCTTCACCAAGATAACAAGCCCGCATCCCACAGCCCCGCGCAGCGGTAGCCAGACAACCAATCCTGAGGACGCCAGAGGATCACGTGGACGGCAGTAGGGGGCGGGACCTTGCGTAAAGAACGAACGTCAGGGGTGGAGCTGGCGGCACAACCGATGCGCACTTGCGTCACTTCGTTGCGCCGTGGCGTTTAATCTGAGCGTCCTGTGGTTTGTGCTCAGAGAAGTAGATGTTTTTGTGCGTCCTCCCTTCGTACAGTTTTCTGCCCTCAGACCTTGGGTTGACTGTTAGAGTGATTTTGCCCGTGCTTAGTTTCATAACTAGGGAGCGGCCTGTGCAGCGGGGTCGTAGTGTGTGTGTGCGCCCTGTTGATTCGGATTGTGACTCCGCTGGATTAGCTGGTCCGGGATTCCCTTACAGAGCTAGGAGTTGGGGTAGAGTCACAGATGAAGATGGCCCTCCGAATCCAGGAGCATCTTGTTGGTTGGCTGGGCTTTTGGACGCTTCTGGTATCTTTTATTTAGGAAGAGTATTTAAGGGAGTGAAGGCCGAATGCTGGGATTACAGATAGCCAGGCATGGTGGCCCATGCCTGTAAACTCAGTGCTCTGGGATAGAAAGACGTGAAGAAAGGGAAAATGGAGACCTTCTGTATCAGAACCACGCAGGATCTCCCTTGTACAGAACAGAATAGGTTATACAGTGAAGAGGATGTGCGTTTGCATTTGATGTTTCCTCGGCCTGATTTATGCTTTATCTCCTTTTCTCAAACAAGTGTATTCTTTATGACAGGTTCCAAGCTCACTCACCATGTCATTTGGGAACTCCTCTGATTCTCAGGAGTATAGTTAGTGTCACTCCTCAGGTTACCCAGTGCAAACTGTTCATACATTGCCGAGCTACTTTTGTCATTTATAAGATAGGGAAAATAATGCATGCCTTTCGCATTGTTATGAGGATTATATGAGAGAATGAAAGTTGTATATCTGACCCAAGTGAAGCACTCACGAAGTGGCAATTTTTATTTTAGTGGATGGCTCCAGAGCATAGCACCATGTTTGGAACATAGTAATTGTTCAATAATTGATTATTGAATGAATAGCTGACCTTATATACCAGGCGCACAGTTCATGCTCACAAGTTCTGAGTGGAGAAGGCACCATTATTATCACCAATGGATTCTGAGGTTTAGATTGATTTAACCAAAGTCTCATAGCTAGAATATGTCAGAGTTAGGTTTTGACCTCTTTTGGCTCCCTAAAATAGCTGATTGAGTGAAAGAAAGAATGAATGAAAATTTACCAAAGTCAGGTAATGGCATGGCAGAGTAAGGACTGTTGCTCTTGGTCACTGTGCCGTCAAGACATTTCCACTCACCTAGTGGTCAAGAGACTGACCCTTGTCCTTCAGCTGATACTTGATGGTGTGTATGTGGTAAACATGCAAGCTGTGTCATACTAATCACTACTGAGAGATGCTTTGTGAATGAACACATCTTAAATAAACTGGGGGCTCTGGTTCTGGTACTCGTTCTTCAATCGAAAGCATACCCAGATAACTTTCCTAAGACTGAGGAAAAATCACAGTCCACATTACTGATTTCAAACTGCTTTGTATAAGGAACATTTACTTTAGATATATAAGAGCCAAGATGTGAGGTTCTGACAGCCTAACTCTTCATATCTAGGGGACTTGACCAAGGAGCTTTAGAGAAGGAAAAGAAACCCCCTTTGCTCATCTTTTACATTATACTCCTTTCTGCTGGTTTGACCTCTCTTAGTGGAGCTTAGAAGAATGAGAAGAGAACAACAAACTACTTAGTAGTTCTCCTGCCCAACTAATATTCTTCCTATTGACTAGAAGGAACGGGAAGGTACTTAGGGAGAATTCTAATTTTGAACGATCTCAGGCAACCCAGAATTCCAAGCTCAAAAGGTAGTGAAAAGAATAAGAACATTTAAATTATGTTTTAAGCCTGCACTGTTCCACCTATTGACCCTGTACTCTCAGTTTCCCTGTAGAACATAGAGCTACCAGTATGGCCCCTTGCGTCTAGTAATGCATTTCCAGTAAAAGGTGGTCATGTTAATCTTTATAAAAGTAAATAATAGCAGAGAGATTTCTCTCTCTGCTAGTGTGAAAATGAGGCTGAGAATTAAGGTAGATGGTAATATCAAAAGTGAGACTGGATTCAGAAGTGACGTGAATGAAAAAGAGAGATCAGGCTTTGGAAGCTTACTGTGTTATTGGTTTATTATTATATGTTAATGTATCCATTCTGTCACTTATGCTGGAAACTTTTCAGCAAAACATGTGCAAAGGATAATGCCGGCCAAAGCAGAGCTTTGTTGAGGTGGAAGCTTCAAGTTAAAACGATAAAATAAGACTGTCTAGAGACCTATTTAAGAATGTCATGCCATCATAAACAAATTGAAGTACAAACTGGGCTTGGGGGCCCCTAACTGTAATCTTAGCACTCTGGGAGGCTGAGGCAAGAGGACTGTAAATTTCAGCCCACTCTGCATAATTTAGCAAGACCTTGGTCCAAACAATCAAACCCTGAAAAACAAATTGAAGTAGAAACACAGAATTGATCACTGGTTTGCTTTAGAGAGAAAGAGAAGTATATTAGTTTTCTGTAGCTGTCGTAACAAATAACAAATTAGTACAAACTGGTGACTTAAGACAGCAGAAATGTGTGTTTTGTTTTTTGGTACTGGAAATTGAATCTGGAACCCTTACACTGGATACATCCCCAGAACTTTTTGTTTCATATTTTGAGACAGGATCTCACTAAATTGTCCAGGCAGGCCTCAAACTTGCAATCCTCCTACCTCAACCTCCCCAAGTAGCTGGGATTATAGGCCTACCTGACCACACCCAGTATGTATGTATTTATTTATTTAGTGGTACTGGGGATTGAACCCACGGCCTTTGGACTAAGCTACATCCCTGGCTTAGTTTATTTTTTTTCCTTCCCCAGGTCTAAAGCCTGGTGGCGGCATCTGTACATGAGTGTGGCTACTCAGGGCTACTGCTTCCTTATGGCTGTCTCTTCCAGCCCACCCTGTCATGCATACCCCATTCCCATCCTCTTTCCTGCACATGCCCCAAAGTTCCCCTCAACTTCCTACAGCTTTACTCACTTTTCTCACAGCTTCTCATATCATCACACACCTTCCTACACCATCCCACATCATCCTATACTGTCCTTCCTAATGTTTTTATTTTATTTTAAAAACAGCATCTTAATATGTATTGCACATGGGCATTGAACTCACTGTGAAGGCCTGGCTGGCCTCAAACTCATGGTGATCTTCCACAGGCTTGCGCCATCATGCAACACAATTTTTTTTTTAAGACAGGGTCTCACTAAGTTACTAAGTTGCCCAGGCTGGGCTTCATTTTGTGATCCTCCAGCCTCAGCCTCACAGAGTGCTGAGATTACAAGAGTGTAACACCACGCCTGGTTCCAGCTGTATTTTTAAAAATAGATCTTTCATAGCTAGAAGATTACATCAGTTTCACTAGGCCTCTGGTGTCAGCAAGGCCCTGCTCACTCCAAAAACTCTAGGGGAGCCAGGCAAGGTGACACAAGCCTGTAATCTTAGTACTTGAGAGGCAGAGGCAGGAGGCTCACAAGTTGAAGTCCCACTTAACAAGACTCTGTCTCAAAATAAAAAGTAAACGTGGCTGGGGATGTAACTTGGTACAAAGGCCTCAGATTCAATCCTCAATACCACACACACACACACATACACACACACACACTGGAAAAACAAAACTCTTGGGAGAGGCCATTCCTGCTCTCTTCCAGCTTCTTTTTTTTTTTTTTTTTTTTTCTCTTCCAGCTTCTAATGAGTGCCAGCATTGCTTTGCTTGTGGCTAAGTCACTCCTGTAACTACCTTTATGATCACATTGTTTCCTCCTGTTCTTTGTAGATCAAATCTCTCTGTGTCTCTCTCCTGTTAGTCTTTGTAATTGGTTGTAGGGTCCTCCAAGTAATTCAGTATAATCTCCATTTCCCCATAACAAGATCCGTAATCATATCTGAATAGACCATGTTTCTGTATAACATAACATTTACAAGTTCATTACTACAACAACAGCTGACTTCTAGTGAGCCTGCTACAAGAAGTTTGACTCAGTTTAGGCAACATCTCTAAATGAGATGCTTGATCATCTGTTTATTTTGCTATTTGTTTTCAATTATAAAAACAATTAATGCTCATTGTAAACCATTAAATACAGTCTAGTTGAAGAAAAGAAAGGGGTGAAAAATAAATTAAATGAAAAATTACCTCCAACCAGGTCTAGCCAGATCCTTATCTAAGTGCATTTTTTATTCTGGGTCTTATGCTATCAAAGAGGAATAACAGGATAAAGAATAAAAGTGAATAGATTATAACAAGCAATTTGGAAGGTAGTGAAATAAATTAATATTACCCTCAATGAATATGTACAGTAAAGCTTAATTTAAAATGAGTGTAGAGCTTGCAAATACAATGAAATAGGACAGAGGTGCTTGCGTGATGTGTGCAATTAATTCTCAGGCCCTTAGAGGTTATAAATTTAACTTTGGCTACTCACTTAACCCCTGAGTTTTCCCATCACAAGGACCTGATTCACTCCTTGAGGTCAGACACTGCCTTGCTAATCTGGCCTGACATAGGCACTTCTTCAGTCCTTATCAGTCTTCCCCAGTGGGTCAATGTTATGAAGACTTGGGAGCCTTGCAGAGTTCCTCCCCCTCCCAGTCTGCTATCAAAGGGCCACAGGGGCCGTGACAGAACGCAAACATTCAGACCAGAGTCAGATGTGGAACTGAAGCAGCAAAAGAAAACACAAGAACATCAGGTAAAAATAAAAATTTAAAATCGTATTTATTTTAGTTGCAGTTTTGTCTGAGAGCACAAGGTGCTTATTATATTAGTTACTAATTTGTAAAAGAAAATGAATGAGAAATTCTGTGATGGGTAGGCAGGATACTCAGATGGACCTAGAATCTCAGAACACTTTCTTGTTTTATGGTTGTTATCAGCTCCAAGTACCATCAGTGAGACTTAGGAGTCATGAGACTATAGGGTCTGTTAGTTCAAAATCAGAACTGTGTTGTGGGTCCCATTAGTGTGAAAGTTATGGGGAGATAAGTTGTAGCTGAAAATAAGCCATTTCTAATGTTTTTAAAACATTAAAACAGAATGAACTGCTTTAAAAGCTACAATAAAGTAGAATGGACTACTTTTAAAAATAATGCATTACTAGTTGTCAGAAAATAGAATACAGTACATTTTTTTTACCATGAGAATGTTTATTTTGCAAGTGATTTTTAATTCTTTTACCATAACTTCTCCACATTGTTATATAATCATATCTTTTCTCTTAGACTTTTACAAACATTTAATAGAATTTGTCAGGATTTAAAAGGGAAAATACATTCTTTCAGCTGGATAATATTACATTTAATTTAGAGATTATGAACTTTTTAAATATCAACAAGCTTCTGGGAGTCACATTATTTGTAGCCGTGATGTCTATGTAAGAAAATATCTTTTATGAACTGTAACAGAGCTTTCACCTGAAAATGAAACACTGAAATTTATAGTTATATCCATATTCAACAGCTTTATAAATTAGAATGGAGTATTTTAAAAGATAATGCATCACTAGTCACTGGAAATGTTCATTTCTTGAGAGTTGGGAGTATTATAAAAAGGATTTAGGAGTCAAATGGGGGCTAGGGATATAGCTCAGTGGCACAGTCACCTGCCTGGCAAGTGCAAGGTCCTGAGTTTGATTCCTGGTAATGGGGGGAAAAAAAAGGACCAGATGGATAATTGGACCAGAAGATCTGTAAAGTCTCTTCCAACATTATTGTTATTCTATGAATTAATTAAGATGTTATAAGAAGTTTCTTTGAGAATCCATAAAATACCACATTTTTGTATATGTGTGAGAAAGGCTCACAGACAAAAAATAGTTCCTCGGTGGATTCTGGTGTGTATGAAGGAAGTGAGAAGGTAACCAAGAGTAAACTAATGTCAGAGGAGGATGCATAGCCTGTTGGATGCCTGATTTTCATTCTGAGAATAAACAACCTCCACAGGGACCTTGTTTGCAAACATCACACAAGGCAATGACAGGTGCTCTTCTCCCAGAGCAACACTCTTGGCTTGCGTTAGTAAATATTGTGTTTTGCAACTAATCAAAACCAAGGGAATCCTTCCTGAAACTTTTGCTTCAGATCTCTAATTTCAATTTAGGTGGCTGTTCTCTGATCTAGGAAGCAGAAGGAGGGTTGGCCAGTTCAATGACCGTACCCCAAAGGCTCATGTTCTTTTCCAAGTTTTAGAGACTCCCACAACACAGACTATTAGAAAGGAAGGAAAACCTCTACTTTCTCACCACATTAAGCAAAAAGAAATGCATTTTTAGAATTTATAAGAATGTATGAAGAACTAAACAAGATTCCTGCATTTGGTATCCATTGACAATATTTCAGGAGTAGAATAAGCCTTTTATGTTTAACATTTTATGTTTATGTTTAAAACTTTATGTTTTATTTTTTGGTTTAGAACATTGCCCTTTAGTGTGGCATATTAACTACAAAAATGGGGAAAACCCCACTTACACACATAGATACACTACACAGCTGTCACATTTCATAGATCTACATGACAATCATTGTCTGAAAATACCATAGAGATATTTCCAGAGTAGATAATGTACACATCTGAAAGAAGTTCATTTGTATTTATTTATTTTTTATTCTAGTTTTTACAGATAGATTTCTCTTTAGAATGAGGTTTTAAAATGTATAAGATAACATATTAAAATACAAAAATTATATAACTTATTTTTCAACTTAAAAATTTTATTTTTGTTAATACATATTTGTGATACATAATGATTACATTAATAATATGGACTGAGTACATGTACATAACACATCGTACTTCTTTTTACATATTCTTCTTGCCCCTCTTATAACTTTTACTTTTATTAGTACATGTTTATTCTACGTAATGCTTACATTTTGTTGCAAAATTGTATGCTTTAATATCAAGATCTGCAGGGCTGGGGATTTAGCTCAGTGGCAAAGCACCTGCCTGGCAAGCGCAAGGTCATGAGTTCGGTTCCCGGTACCGGAGAAAAACCAAAAAAAAAAAAAAAATCAAGATCTGCAATACATATATTCCTAGTCCTCTACTGCTTTTTCATTTTCCTTTGAATTATAAGTAGGACTTCCTTGATTTCAACTTCATTTCTGAATATTCTGTAATAAGTTACTTGGTCTCCTTGCCAACCCATACCCTTTACAGCTGGGCTCAATGTTGTTGTTTCGTGATTTTATGTGAAAATAGCTGACAATTTCAGGAATATAATTTTTCACTATGGCAAAATGTTAATAGCCCACTTTTATCTACACTTGTGCTTGTGAGAAAGGCTATGGATATTTGGAAATATTGTTAGAAAACAGTAATATCAAATACTATTTCTAATGTTAAAATATATTTCTAATAGCTTATAGTTTTAAAGGAAATATTGTCTTCTCTGTAATTCCCACTAATGTGGAAACACCATTCTTCTCTTGATTATTTGTAGGAGCATCTTTCTGCTACTCACTGGGGCACACAGGGGCTACTGAGATGGAGAGTCATAAGACTACCACAGAAATGGTCTATGCTGAGATTATCGTAAATGTGGGCAGAATGACTTTTGGAGAAGAAAACAGGAAGAAGATGAGCAATGGCTCTTTGAAGAGAACTGAGAATTCCAAAATCATCCAGGCTATCTGTGCACTGTTAAATTCTGGAGGGGGTATGATCAAAGCAGAGATTGATGATAAAACCTACAGTTACAAATGCCATGGGCTAGGGCAGGATTTGGAAACTTCATTTCAAACACTTCTTCCTTCAGGTTCGCAGAAATACCTCGACTATGTGCAGCAGGGACGTGATTTCCTGATTTTCGTGAAGTCCTGGGGTCCAGATGTTTTCAGCCCCCCACTGAGGATTTGCAGCTTGCGTTCCAACTTGTATCAGAGAGATGTGACCTCTGCTATGAACTTGAGTGCCAGCAGTGCCCTGGAGCTTCTGAGAGCGAAGGCATATAGAGCCCAAAGAGGTAGACCAAAGTTGCATCCTCAGAAAGTTCTCAAAAAATATGTTCAGGAAGAGGAAGATATGAAGATGTCTGCCCTGGAATTTTTAAAAAAGGATAAACTCACATATAAGGAGAAGGTCAACTTCACAGAATCAACACATGTTGAGTTTAAAAGGTTCACTACCAAAAAGGTTGTACCTCGGATTAAAGAGATGCTGCCTCATTATGTCTCTGCTTTTGCCAACACTCAAGGGGGATACCTGATTATTGGGGTTGATGATAAGAGCAAAGAAGTGTTTGGATGTAAGAGAGAAAAAGTGAACCCTGACTTATTAAAAAAAGAGATAGAAAACTGCATAGAAAAATTGCCTACATTCCACTTCTGTTGCAAGAAGCCCAAGGTGAATTTCACTACCCAAATCTTGAACGTGTACAAAAAAGATGACCTGTATGGTTATGTCTGTGTGGTTCAAGTAGAGCCCTTCTGTTGTGCAGTGTTTGCAGAGGCCCCGGATTCCTGGATCATGAGGGACAAATCTGTCACCAGGCTGACAGCTGAGCAGTGGGTAGTCATGATGCTGGACATTCAGTCAGGTAAAGAGGGGGTAAATTGTCCAATAAGCAGACAGGAGCTCCCTTCCCCTTTTTGGGTATTCAGAAATAAATTCTACGTAAAAATAGAATTTGTTTTTGTTTATAAAAGTTCTCCCATGGTAGGGAGGTAATACTCTTAGTTGCAAAAACTCAGAACCTGAACTCTTTGACGTCAAGAAATGCTTAGATTTCAATCTGTTTTGTTTGTTTGTTTGTTCGTTTTCAGTCAGTGTCTTGTTATGTAGTTCAGGCTGGCCTTGAACACACTATGTAACCCAAGCTGGCCTCAAACTTGCCGTGATCCTCCTGTTCAGTCTCCTGAATGCTGAGATTACAGATGTGCACCACCACACCCGGCTATTTCAACCTGTTTTGGGAAAGTTGTAGTATACATCATCAGCCATGAGTTAGTGAAAGTTTCTCTTTTTTATGCACTGTAAAGACTTATTGAAAAAAGTTTCCAGGCTGATTTTTTTAGTCTAAATAGAAAGTTTCATTCTAAAAATGGTCTTCAGAGAAAGACTGTTTAAGAATAACTCTGCCCTAAATCTTTCAAGGGATACATTTTTGACAAATTTGAACTATTTTAGTAATATTAGTAGGTGACACCTTTATCACAGTGCTGGGGAAATGATGCAAAAGATGATATTATGTTAGGGGATAGCAATGGGGAAAGAGAGCCCCTAGTGTTTTTACTTCCCTTATAGTTTTTCTTAGAATCAGTCTTGTGATTCCTAATCAATCTGTAAACGTCTTACACACTGAACTAGGTTTATGAGCTTGCCTTCACAGTCAGTATGTTCCAAGTCTGATAAAAGAAGCTTGGATCATTAGACCAAGACTCAAGTGATTAGAGAATTTTATTGGGTTGTTCTTTTTCTTGTCCTAAATTTGGTCCTTCAGCTTTTCTACCCCTAAACTAGAGATTCTATGATGTTCATGCCCATCTCATCTTGGATGGAGATTAAACAATAAAAACAACTTGTGCTTAATCTTTCTAACCTCCACAAGATGTCTTTTCCTCTTAGAAATGACCTTGGTTAAGATACTAGCATTGGAAAGGAACTTACATTTTTTTTTGGTAGGAAGAATCAAACTCAGGACCTTGCACTTGCCAGGCAGGTGCTTGTACCACTGAGCTACATCCCCAGCCTGGAAGGGAATTTAAAGATTATCATTTCACTTTTGCATGAAAGGTGAGGCAACTCAACCAAGATGAGCCACACAGTGAGTTAAAAGATGCATGACTCCTGCAGAAGTCCCCAGACTTCATTTCCTGGCTGAGGTATAGCAAGTGAGATAGCAACTCAGACACCATACACATCTCATGTCTCTGGTAGGAAGAGCAATAAAGCATCCTTTTACTTTTATTTTTGTCTAAAACCACTTTCTATGCAATTGTTCAGTTTCTTCCAGTTTGGCCACAGACTCCAGTGCTCACCTGCTTCCATCAGCTTCATCTTCACCAAGAAGCCCAGCATACCCCATAAAAGCCCTGGAATTGAAGGGGGCTCTGCAGCAACGTCTGTTTCCAGGTATTCCTTCCTGATTTCACTTGAGGGGAATATTTGTTTTGTAAGAAGTGTGACTCACTGGTAGAACATTTGGGTAGCATGTGCAAAGCACTGGGTTCAATGATCAAGACCAAAAAAAACCTTTGGAGGAATTGGTATTTCTTCTTCTTCTTCCTCTCCTCCTTTTCCTCTTTCTCTTCCTCTTCCTCATCTTCTTCTTCTCCTCCTTCTCCTCCTCTTTCCTCTCCTCCTCTTCCTCTTCCTCCTCCTCCTCCTCCTCCTCCTCCTTCTTCTTTTTGTCATTTTAGATACAGGGTCTCTGTATGCAGTTCAGGCTGGACTTGAGCTCACTTTGTAGCCTAGGTTGGTCTCAAACTTGCAACGATCCTCCTGCCTCAGCCTCCCAAGTGCTGGGAATACAGGTGTGCGCCACCACACCTGGCTGATATTTCTTCTGAAAGAAAGCCAAATGTAGGACTTAACAGATATCCTGAAAAATATATGTTTTTTATTGCCCAGTTAGCAAAGTTACAGTTAGCACTGTACCTCTGTGGGCTTTTAGACTTCAGGTCACATATAGCTTTTGTTCTGCAAATATGAGAGTGCTGCGTATTCTTTGGTTCTCTACCAAAAGAGAATTGCCACCTGGTTTTCAGTAGAGAAGGAGCTATGGAGTCACCTGAACCCCTTCTAAAGCAGAGTTCCTGAGCTCAGTGCTATTAACGCTTGAGTCACAGAATCCTCGTTGCGAGAAGTGGGTGTGCCCTGTGCATTGCAGGAACTTTAGCAGCATTCTCAGCCTTTACCCACTACATATCAATAACATACCTCTAGTTGTAACAAAAATTCTCCAGACATTGTCAAATGTTCTCTAGGCAAGGCACAAAATTACCTCTGGTTAAAAATCACTATCATCAAGGAAAATTATTAGTTTTCCAAATGATGCATCAGGTTCACCAATAATCCAAATAACAGCAGGGAGTACCTTTCTAGCACTTGTGGACCTGGGTTGAAGAAAGGGTGTTAGAAGGCTGTTCTTTGACGACCCCTCTTGGTAGCTTTCCTCTGTGCTAGAACTGTCAGAAATAAAAACTGATCATATCCCTGGACTGTGAAGAGGGATTGTTCTCTTTGCAACCAGGAAACCCCTCTTCCTGCCTAGATGTAGAAATACTTACTCTATGCTTTTTAAAGTTTTGGTAACTTACTTCTATTCCTTAAATTTTCAGTGACACAGGAAGAAATACATTTTAAGCCAGAATCCCTCTGTAAGAAGTTATTCGCAGATCATAAGGAACTGGAGGAATTAATAAGGACACAGATACATCCTTGTTCTCAGGGGATTGTGATATTTTCTAGAAGCTGGGCTGGTGATATTGGCTTCAAGAAGGAGCAGAAGGTTCTGTGTGATGCTCTCCTGATAGCAATTAACAGCCCCCTGGTACTCTGCACAATCCTAATAGACCCTAGTTGGACTGGAGGACTTGGATATGCCCGAGAGACTGCTTTTCAACTAAAGCAGAAACTGCAAACTGTTGGTGGCTACACAGGGAAGGTGTGTGTCATTCCAAGGCTGATGTACCTGACCAGCACACAGTGTAGATCTGAAGAAAATCTCGTGCACTACCCTCAATCCTACAGCCTTGCCAGTGAGGATGAGATGGAGGACTTGTTACAGGCCCTTGTGGTCGTCTCGCTGTGCTCTCAGTCTCTTCTGAGTGACCAGCTGGGTTGTGAGTTTTTCAACCTGCTTGTAGCGGAGCAGTGCGAACTGCTGTCCAAGAGCCTTCAGGAGACCCGGGAACTGTTCATCCACTGCTTGCCAGGAACCAGGAGGACAGCGCTAGCCATAAAGATCATGGAGAAAATTAAGGACTCGTTCCATTGCAAACCAAAAGAGATCCTTTATGTCTGTGAAAGTGACTCCTTACGGGATTTTGTGATGTAAGAGTTTTATCATCTAAACTTTAAGAAATGTATTTAATCTTTTCAATACTGCCACAAAAGTAACCTCTTTGGTTTGTTTGTGTGTTTTTTTGGTATCAGGGATTGAACTCATGACCTCAGGCTTGCCAGGCAAGCGCTTATGCCACTGAGCTGTATCCCCAATCCTAACTTGTGTTTTCAGTTTGGGTCTATACAGTACCTCTTTGCTGCATAAGTACAAGAGCCTTCTTCCAATACATATTTCCAAATGACCAGATAGTTGAGGTATAAATGGGTAATTTATAATGTTTGAGTTTAAATATTTCATTATAAGTAAGCCAAGTAGGCATATCTTTAAATTTATAAAACTAGGCATACTTCCCCCACGATCCATGGCCTTAAATCTAAGAAAAGTGGAGATAATAGTATCTTGCTTCAAATACACTTTTTTGATATTTAATCTTTTAAAGTTGTAAGGTTAGTCACTATACCTAGCAGGAACTTGAATTTAAACACAATTAACTTTTTGATCTTTTTTGTTGTTATTTGTTTTTTGAGACAGGGTCTCATTATGTAGTTCAGGCTGGCCTTGAATTTGTGGCAATCCTCCTGCCTCAGCCTCCTGAGTGCTGGGATTACAGATGTGAGCCAGCATGCTTGACTAAATATAATTTAATTTTGTTTATAAAATATTTTCTGTTTGACTTGTTCTGAATGGTAATTTTAAGAAGGCATGCCAACTTGGTTTTAATTTAAATCTCTAGCTTTCAATTTAGCAAAATAATTTGTTCGTCATGCAATTTAGCAGGTGAGTACAAATTAAATTTTTTGCCTGATTTATTTATTAATCAACAGATCTTTTTGAGTAGAATTTATATGTTAGACATTGTATTGTGTGACATTTAGTGTTAGAGGGGAAATCCTACTGAAGACTTTGCCATTAAAAAATAATACAAAGCTGGGCACAGTAGCACATGACTATAATCCCAGCTACTTGAGAAACAAACACAGGAGGATTACCAGTTCAAGCCCAGCCTGGGCAATTTGCCAAGACCCTGTATCAAAATTAAAAAATGAAAAAGGCTGGGGATAAATTAAAAAAAATTAAAAGGTTTTATGAAAACCTAGTACTGCAAACAAAAAAAAAAGAAAAGAAAAAGAAAGAAAAAAAAAGAAAAGCAAGTGTTGTATATTGATAAGGATATCCTTATTTTACTTAGACTAGAAGTGGCTTAGCAAATATTGTTTGCTGAAGAACACCCATGGGCACATTCTGAAGAAACCAGCAGGAGGAGTATATAAAATGGGGAGGGCTTTTTGATTAAGGGACACAGCCAGTCCAAAGGTAAAGAGACCACAGAACTGCAACAATAGACTTAACTGGGGCAGTGCAGACGTATGGTTATATGTGGAGGTGTGTTGGAAAGGAGGCAGATGCCTGATTATAAAGGGTCCTGGAAACTGTGCTAAGGATACGTTTGTTATTAAACTTTATGGTTAAGTTAAAAATTTTCCCAGTCACCCTCTAATATGAAGGGGAAACGGAGATGGGTAAAAATAACTGCTTGTCTTCAAGAGTCAACACAGTCCAAACCAGAAGAGGAGAAGATAAGTATCTATGAATCAAGGCATAGGGAGAAAAGCCCCAGGAACCGCTTATATAAAATCAGGCAATCTGTAGTAATGAATACTATTATTTGGATGCAAATTAGATAAGGTAGGAGACAACCAAATTTGTTGAGAGGGGAATAGGAAAATTGAGCTAAGAGAGGAATAACCTTGTAGATTTGTTGCTCTTTTTGATGAAACTCAGCAACCTTGCAGTGTTTTCTCTACGAAAATCTAAAGACGTTTCTAGTTTTATACTTCAAGTAAATGAGGAAATAAGTTTGCTTTTGAGGAATTTGAATTGGCTCATATTTCTTAAACTATAAAGATTATGATATACATTTAGGTGGTGATATTCCAACTCTATAAAGGTCAGAGGGTAAAGAAATGGGACTAATGGGTGTAAATTACTTTTGATATTTCCTTTAGTTGTGAGGATTTTACCTTTAGGGGTTATCAAGGGCCAGAAATAGATTTTTTTTTTTTTTTTGGTCTTTTTGAGACAGTGTCTCGCTATGCAGTTCAGGCTGACCTTGAGCTCTCTTTGTAGCCCAGGCTGGCCTTGAGCTCACGACAATCCTCTTGCATCAGCCTCCTGAGTGCTGGGATCAGAAATAGATCATTCATAGAAATGATAAATTCTCTTATTTTTATAGTAATGAAAGTTTCACCTACAGATTTAGTTAGATAACCCTAAGGAATCAAATGTAAAATTCTGCATTCAATCAGGTAACTTTAAGGAGAACAGTTTGGTGGTGCCCAGACTTGATCAATCAGCCTGCAGAGAAGAATTGACCTCTAATTTCACTACTAGATTAATAAATGCTAGTGTTTTCCTTGTTTATATGCCTGCGACATTTTTCTCTCTTTCATTCTTACAGCCAGCAGACCACCTGCCAAGCTGTGACCCGGAAAACTTTCATGCAAGGGGAATTCCCCAAAATTCAGCACATAGTGATGGATGAGGCTGAGAATTTCTGCGGTAAATACGGGGATTGGTACATGAAAGCTAGGAGTATCACCTACCCAAAGGTGAAAGGGGCTGGAAGTGAAAACCCTCACCACGGGATCCTCTGGCTTTTCCTGGACCTTTTCCAAGTCCGTCATGCAGATGTCAGCGGCCTCCCTCCTCCTTCTGCTCAGTTTCCTCGGAAAGCAATCACTGAGGGGGTCCACTGTGCTCTGGAAATAGCAAAGGTCATGAAAGAAGAAATGAAGAGGATCAAAGAAAACCCTCCTTCCAACATGTCTCCAGACACATTAGCGCTGTTCCAGGAAGCTGCCTATGAGGAAGCAATGTGTGCCCAAGCTCTGCCTGGGGTGTATGAGACAAAGACTAACCTGACAATAGAACAAATAGCAAACTACGTGGCAGAAAGATGTCATAGTCTGTTCCAGTGTGGCTATATGCCCAAAGATGTGGCAATTTTGTGCAGGAGAGGGGAGGACCAAGGACGTTATAAACTTGCACTGCTAAGAGCAGTGAAATTAATGAAGACCCAAGGAGCAACAGAGGTTGTGTTCAGCCAGGCTGCTGGTGTTCAGGGTGATCACATTGTTTTAGACAGTGTTCAACAGTTTTCGGGCCTGGGGAGGAATATTGTGTTTGGGCTCAGTCCAGAATGTACCCAGTCAGAGGAGTTTCATAAGCTCTGGTTTGCCTCAAGAGCCATTAAACACCTCTACCTTCTTTATGAAAAGAGGGCAGCCTTCTGAAAATCATTATGAACAACACAGAGAAATCCAGGAAGAGCAGGGTGTCTCCTCCCAGGCAGCTGCTCCTTTTAAACTGTTACAAGGAAAGAATGAAGGAGTATCAGTATGGCCCTGAGCCGCAGAAATGTCTCCTAGGGCAGATCTTTCACTCCTAGCTCACTTCTCCTCCATGTACTATTATAGCAAACTTATAATTGGTCCCCTGCTTCCTAACCCAATCTAATTTTCATCTTGTCTCTCAAAGAGTTTATCCTCAAGTAGAAAATTGCTTTTATGTAATTCTCTGCTAACATACACCCAGTGCCCCAACATGCAAACCAAATCAGTTTCCAGGCTTTCTGTGATGTGCTCTCACCTACTCTTCTAACCGCACCTTTGGTTATACCTCCACATCCAAGTGTTTCTAATGCACCCCAGACTCACTGGCCTATTTTGCAGGTGGTGGTTGGGTGCTTTCCAGTTCAATTATTTGACTCCATATATCAAGGGTAGCTCCCTGGTTAGCATCTCATACTACCTATAGGACTCAAGCTTTACAGGTCAAGTACTTTATTTCTTCTTTACAAGTCTAGCTCAGTCTCTCAGGGATGGCTTTTTGCTAATTAAATTTGCAAAAGTCTAGCACACAAGAGAAAAGATCAGTCTGTTACTTTACAGTAAGGATTGTGGTAATAAGTGGGTGAGGGGCTTTTGCCAATCTGTGCATTCAACAATGTAAGAATCCCAGTTATACCAACAGCTTCCCAGTAAAGGAAGTTGATCACCTTATTCCAATGTAAGAACTATTCGGGGTATATGAGGGTATCATCCCTATAGTTAGCATCTGTCACTCATCACAGAGCCATCTGGTTGTTCTGGAAATAATGTGAATTTTTGATCTGAAAAGCTCAGCATCAGACTCTGGTCATATTCCTGGCCCATGCAAGGTCAGACCCTCCCAACACTAATGGCCGGGTCCCTTTCAAAGGTGCTGCATCTTGGCTTCTCCCAGTGCAAGCTTGGAGATGTTTTCTGGTGATTTGAAATGTGAAGTCTCCACCATCCTTCTTTTAAAAATCTCTCAGAAATACAGACCCAATGTCAGAGCAGATCTCACTGGTTAACAGGTGAAATGGACATTTAGAGAGTTCCAGGGACAGTATTTTCCTTCTGAATCTACGCCACCCACAAGTGGAAGGAGGGACCTTACGCTGCCTCGTTGGTGTCTTCAGCTGAAAGAGGGCAAACTTGACTTTGAAACAAATAGGATCAATTTTCAGCTTTGTTTCTTTTTTCATTCTCAGCCTAAAAGAAGTGAAAAACGAGGAAGTAAAATACAGCCATGATCACTTTCCCTTATTGTTTATTACCTGAGAATTATCTTGGCCATTTGCATTTGAAATTCATATCCTTCCCTGTTTTAATCAGGAAAGGCTGTCTTCTTTGCCCAATTGTACAGCTTGGAAGAGGCCAGTGGTGATGGGGAGGGGGCTGGCCTGACAATGACAGAAGCAGGGACTCCTCTCCTAGCCAGGCAGAATTGACAAATAGACCCTGCTAGTCAATAGCTAATACATCAAAATACCTCTATAGCTCCATTCCTGCTCCTCTGCTATGTATATAGCTATGTATATGTGTTAGGTAATATATATTTATATATGTATATATGTTAGCTAATATATATTTAATGTATATAGATGTCCTCCCAAAGCCTCATGTGGTCATAGGTGGGGCTTTCTCAGAGGTGGATGAATCTAGAGTGTGTGATTGATTCATGGTGCAATGGTAGGATTAAGAGTGCTAAGATTAAGAGTGAGTGATTACCAAATCAGTTCATTGATTGGTTTGGCCCCACTCTAACCCCAGTAGCCTAGATAGACTATAAAAGGAGCAGAAAAAAGATGCTAAGGAACTTTGCTTGCTTTGCTACCTTTTGCCCACCATGAACTGTTTCTCTTCTGTGACGCCTGTCTGCCATGCCACTCTGCCTTGAAGCCCACCAATTATGGACTGAAACCTCTACAAACTGTGAGCCAAATAAACTTTTCCCCCTTTAACTTTGGGTGTTGGGTGTTTTGTCTTAGAAATGAGAAAAGTAACTAGGACACTAGCCATATGTATCTATATCTATATCTATCTATCTATATCTATCTATCTATCTATCTATGTATATATCTTTTAACCTTCCAGCCACCCCTTGGATTATGTACAGCAGCCCCAAGTAAGGTAAAATAAGGTAGTTTGAACCTTGGGTCAGGTTAACCCTGACCTTCAATTCTTTTCTTACTAGTGTGGGTGGGCAAGTTACATAATTTCATTAGAACTCCATGTTCTTATCTGTAAAATTGAGATAAAAGTTCATAACCATGCCTAGAGATAAAGGTGAGGATGGAAATAAATACTACATTTGGATAAATTCTGATATGTTGAAAACTGTAAATATTGGACTTTATTAGTTCTAATTATAGTTGAAAAAACTGTGACTTAAAAGGTACATGCCTTTCCCAAGATCACAGAACTAGTAAATCCTAAACCGAGGATCAGAATCCAGGTCTACTTCTTTTCTTTGTTTTTTTGAGGCAGGGTCTTGCTATGTAGTTCAGGTTGGCTATGAACTTACTATGTAGCCCAGGCTGGCCTCAAAATTGTGGTGATCCTCTTGCCTCAGCGTCCCATGTGCTGGGATTACAGACATGTGCTACCACATCCAGCTTGAACCCAAGTCTATTTGACTCAAAAATTCACTTTAGCCTCTATGTTCTTCTGCCTCCTGTACTTCAAAGTGAAAGGGCTGAACCTCCATGATGACAGTAATTTATTTGATTTCATGTTGAGAATACTTAAAATATTTGTGACATTAACCTACTTGGTTATTTTTAGTTTCTAGAAGTTTTTTCCAAATCAATATGATTGCTCAAATAACTTATACAGCAAGAAATGTCTAGAGAAGAGCATTTTTTACACTGAGAAACTTTTAACAATTTAACATTCATTATAAGAGCTATATAATGACATTATGGAAAGATTAAAAAATAGAAAACCACAAAAGAAAACATCCCTATTTTTTACCACCACACATGCAGCTATTTTTTTCATTTTTGCTTACTCATTTCTGGTGTTAGTCTATTGGCAGATATATTTCTGCAAAGTTGTATTTGTGGTGTATGTTCCATTTTGTATCCTATTTGGGTTGATCATCTGATGGGCCTGTCCCACTCTGCATCTCCTATATGGTGGGAGGGGGCATTTTCCATGGTGCAGTCTGGGGAGAGATGGTTCTCAGTGCCTTTGAACAGGGAAGGGTGATTCTCAGGGCAGCAGAGCCTCTTGTGTCCCTGTTGGTTTCCTGGTGCAGCCTGAACTCAATCCTTGGAAGAGGAAGATGGTGCTCGCTTTGGCAGCACATATACTAAAATTGGAACGATACAGAGAAGATTAGCATGGCCCCTGTGCAAGGATGACACACAAATTTGTGAAGCCTTCCATATTTTTTGAATTCTACAAGACATCCAGAGAAGATTTAATGCCAACACTCTTCAACTCTTTAATGAAATTGAAAAGGAGGCAATTCTCTCTAACTCATTTCTAGAGGCAAGTAGTATTGATACCAAAACAAGAGAAAGACCTAACCAAAAAAGAGAGCTATAGACCAATCTCCCTAATGAATGTAGATGCAAAGATACTCAGTAAAATACTAGCAAACAGAATTCAGCAAATCATCGAGAAGATAATACACCATGACCAAGTAAGATTCACCCCAGGGATGCAGGGATGGTTTAATATACATAAATCAATCAATGTAATACACCACATCAACAGAGCCAAAGAGAAAAATCACATAATCATCTGAACAGATGTAGGAAAAGCTTTTGATAAAGTCCAACATGAATTCATGATAAAAACCCTACAGAAAATAGGAATTGATGGTCTTTACCTCAATCTGATAAAAGCCATCTATGACAAACTAACAGTCAACATCATACTAAATGGACAAAAACT